AATAATAAAGTTAACTTAATATTAAATAATTTATAATAAATTAATTAAAGTATTAGCCTTAATATTATCTTTTAAAAAAATAATTACATTAATTTTAAGAAATAAGTTTTTAGCATAATCTTTAAAATATACTAGCTTAAAAAGTACCTTTAATAAAATATATACTTTAAATTATACTGCTAATAAATATTTAATTAAGGTTAAATTAATATTACTAAGCATTAAAATATTTATAATACTTATTTTAATAATTATAGCTAAAATTATTTAAGCTGCTTTTTTCTTAAGTAATAAGAGTTATTAAATATACTTTTTTAGTTTTAAGTTTATTATATTTATTAAGCTTATTTTTATTATAGAAAATTTAATATTTTCTTTTTAAGTTTAATCTTAATTAATAAATAAGTTTTTCCTATCCTTTATTCTTTTTTTATTCCTTAGCTATAATTTATTATTAATAATTTAAAATTAATTATTTTTTACCTTTTTAAAATCTTTAAGTTAAGCATAATTAGCCTTTATAATTCTTATAACTTTATTTTAATTTTTAATATCTTTAGCTATATGCTTTTTTTAATTATAATAATATTTATTTAAGAAAGCTTATTATTACTTATAATTATAAGCTTTTTTTTAATATAAATTATATAATTTATAGAATTTATAAATGCTAAAATTAAGCTAACTTTTCTTTAATTATTAAGCTCTTAAATTACTTTTAAGGCTTTTAATAAGGCCTTTTCTTTAAATAAAGAATTTACCTTAATAAGCTTATAATATTTAATTATATAAGATAAATTAAACCTTTTTTTTTTAAATAAGAACTTTAATTAGCTATAAATATATCTTTTTAAATTATAGCTACTTTAATTATAATATAATTAAATATAAGTAAGATTTAAATACTTTAAAAGATTAGCTTAAGTATTTTTAAATAAGCTAAAGAATATTAATAACCCCTTTAACTTAAAAGCTATTAATAAGTTATTTAAGGAAAGTTACCTAAGCTTATTACATTAATATATATTATAGTCTTAAAAAGTATAGCTATAGTAAACTTTAAATAACCCATTCTTTTTAAAAAAAAAGCATTAAATTTATAGCTTATACCTTATTATTATTAAAATTACTTTAATTAAGTTTTGCTAAAGGTTATTAAATAAAATTTATAGCCCTTAGCTTAATTATTTTAAAATTATTTTACTATTTATTATAAAAAAAAGCTTTAATATCTTATTAAAATAACTTAAATTTATTTTTAAACTTAATTAAATTAAGTTTTAACTTTATAAATCTTTTAATAAGTTTATTTATATTTTATAAATTTTAATTATATCTTTTAATAATATTAATATAATTAAATTTAAATAAAGATTATTAAGCCTATGGATTTTTATTTTAAAGGCAATTTAAAGAATTAAAATTATTTTAACTTTCTTAAAGGAAATTTAGCCTTTTTAAATTAAGTAGGTTTTAATTAAAATTATTTTATATAAATAAATACTTATCTTATTTAAAATATTTAAGTTCTTAATTAATAACTTTTAATAAAATATGCTTAAAGTTTAATTAAAGAATATTCCTTATTAATTTATAAATAATTCCTTTCCTTATTAATCACTTTTTTAAATATAATAAAAGTGCTTTATAAAAGGGCTAAATTATAATAAAAAAGATATTATTTATATTATTAAGTTCTTAATTATATTTTATAATCTTCCTTTTTTATGCTTTTAAGTTATTATAAGAGTTATTATAAATAATGTTTTTAATAATTATAATTAAGTTTATATAATAAGTTTAATTATTAAACTTATAAAAAGTAAAAAGCTTTTCCTTTTAATTTTTTTAAATAAATTATTTAATAATAATACTTTTAATCGCTTTTATTAAATTTAAAGTAATATAGCATTATTTAAGCAATTTTAAGATTTAATTATTTAAATAAGAGAATTAATAAATAATAATTTTAAAATTATTTAAAATCTTAATAATATTAATCTTATTAAATTTTAAGATATTTAAATTATAAATTATAAATAAAATTACTTATAGTAAAGTTATTATATTAATAAAAAATAAGACTTTTAAAATATTAATTTAAGTTCTTAACTTATTATTAATAATAAATTATAAGGTTTAATTAAAGTAAGGTTAGTATTTTAATTAATAGTAAATAGGATTAAATCTTTCTTTTCCCTTAATAAGTTTTTTAAAATTCCTTTTCTAGCTTTAAGTAAAAAAGAATAAATAGTTTTTAAAATTTAAAGGTACTTTTAAAATAAAAGTAAATTTAAAAGGGCTTTAAATTTAAAAGTATAATATATATATTATAATAATTCCTATTAAGATAATAATAAAATGAAAAAACTTAAAAGCAATAATATCTTTAATTAAAGTAATTGCTTTTAAGAAATTTATTTTTAATATTATTTATAAATATTTAAATTAAAATTTAAAAAATAAAGGTATAATAATATAATATAATAAATAAAATAAACTTAATAAAAAAATATTTTATTAAGAAATAAAGATTATAAAATTATAATAAAGAAAGCCTTTTAAATTTATATTTAATACCTTACTTATTAACATTATATTAAATCCTTAGTAAATTAAATTTAAGTTTAATTAAAGCTTAAGCAGAGTTATACTTTAAGTTTAAGTTTTTTATATAATTTAATTAATATAAAAATGCATAATATAATATTATTTATTAAATTTATAAATAAATAAAGTAAGCACCTTAATTTTGCATTATAACTTCCTTTATTTTAAACTTAAGATTATAATAATAATAATAAATATTAATTAAGAGTTTAAAGCATTTTTAATTAATATTAAGTAATATTTATAAAGTTTAAATTTATTATTTTAATTTTAAGTTTATATTATTATTATATTTTAAGCATAATCTTTAATAAAAAACTTAAAATAAGTTTAAAGCTTAATAGTATATTAATATAAGATTAAGATAGTATTTTATTTAAATATTAAAAGTATAAAAGGTATCTTAAAATTAAAAAATAGTTTTAAGGCATTTATAATATTATTATAAATTTAATTATACTTAATTCTTTTTTATAATAAGTTAAAGATAAATGCAAGCTTTAATTAAAGCTTTAAGCTAATATATAAAATAATTTAATAATATTTAATATAAAAATAAAAAGAAATAAAATTAATAAATAATTAGCTTATAGCTAACTTTTTATTTTTCTTATTATTAATTAAAAATGCATAAAATTAAAATTATGCTTAAGCCAAATTATTAATAAAAATAAGCTACTTAAATAATAAGGGATAGGTTTTGCTAAACCCTCTTAAGGATAACTTAAGGAGAAGCTTTAATGCAATAAAAAGGAAAGATAGAAATAAAAGAGAACTAAAAAAAGAGAAAAGATAAATATTTTAAAAATTCTTAAAAATAAGAAAAGCTTAATTAAAGCATTAAATATATAAGAAAAGAAAAAAGTTAATTTCTTAAAAGAATGTTTAAAATAAGCGTAAAAGCTAGCTTTTTATAGCTAGCCGGAATTTAGCGCGATACCATTTCTTACGTAATTCCCTGCACCCGCTAATATTATATATATACACGCTTAAGAAATAACCCTTTAAAAGTCTTTAGGTTATTTATAACCCATGCAAAAGAATTTAGCGCAGCGGGATTTAATAAATTTTCAACGGCTTCCTTAATTAACATAGTAAAAGCCGCTTATTAAGACCTAAATAGGTTAAAGAAAGCATAACAATATCTAGCGAATATATAATAAGTAGGCATTATAAACGCCTTTTTAAAAACCTTTAATTCCACCTTATTTAATGCAAAAGTTAATGCTTAGCCTTTAAATGCTAAGATTACTTTTTTAATTATAGCATTTAATATATTAATAAAGAAATAATTAAAAATAAAAGATTAGCTTAATAATTATAAAGCATTTTATATCCTTATGCAATAACTTTTTAATATTTTATTTATAAAACCTAAACTATAAATTTTAATAAGCAAACTAATAAATATAAATATTAATAATATATATATAAAAACTTATATAAAAAGGTTTAAAAGCCTTTGCTTTAAATATAGTAATTTGAGCTATATTGCTTAAAATTATAATAAAATAAGAATAATAGCAATTAAGTTCTTAATAATAGCTATTATATAATAAGTAGATCCTAAGAAAAATTAAGCAAAAAATAAAGGGAAAAAGGGGATAATTATGGCTATGCAATATAAAAACTAAGTAATTTGCATAATTTATTTCAAAAGGCGCTTAAAATTTTCATAAAACCCCTATTAGCAGCCCTTAAGTAGTTTAAAATATTAATTAAGGCTAATTATGTTAAAAGCATTAATTAAGGCAAATAAAGCAAAAACTAAAAGCAATAACATAATATTTATAAATAATAATAACATACTTAGTTAAATTTTAATTAATTGTAATTTCTATAAAATTCTAGGCGGTTTTTAAGGAACTTAAAGCGTTAATTAAGGCGAAGTTCTTAGTTAGGGGGTAATATTTTAAGTTATGCCTATAGAGTTTTGGTTTGATTATGTAACCCGATATTACATATATATAGCCAAAAGCCGGGGCATTGCCTTTAGCTTTCATTCTTTCTCCTTTGTCTTTCATACTCTCAATATACTTAACTATCTACGGCTCAAGCCCCGTCACATCCCCGAATGGATCCGGCGACGAGGTGCACGAGACTTTTGAGGTGCTGTGACGTAACACCCTTGGCGTCGTACTCGGAGCCAATACTTTGCCTGTCCACCCCGAGTCCCCCCGCGTTTTGGCTGCGCATCCCAAGTGAATAGACAGCGGTAACATGGGACGTCCTTGAAAGCATTTCTTTCAACGGCCGTTTCAAGCATTTGCTCAGTGTGTCTTTTCAATAACCAGCGAGACGTAACAGGCCTTGGAAGGTGCTGCCATTGATAGGCACAGGCACAGGCATAGGCATCCTCGCCCCCTCCCCCTCCTTTGGAAGTAGCCAGCATGGCCACCGGATCATCGCCAGCGACGGTCATCCGATATGGGCAGCCACCTGGCGCAGACACATCGGCTCCATCCAACCTGCCGCGGTATCCACCCCCGGGGCCCAGCATGTCGGGTGCCCTGCCCGATAACTGGCAACCTACCAAGATTTCTGACACAGGTCCGCCCGGCCAACCTTATTCCAGGCCCGTCCGAGTATACTCCCCGCAGGAGATCCCGACGAACATAAAGACCGCTCGCTTGAGCGTCGAGCACGGCTTGAAAGAGCTGATCAGCCTCCAGCAGCGACGTCCTCAGCTTGAAGGGGTCGCCTTCCTGGACCAGTTCCGGCTACAATCCGCCAATGTCCTCGGCGACCTGAACGCGTTGCGGGGGGAGGTGTCGGACACAATAAGAGCCGCAGAGCGGCATAGGTGGCGGAAGTGGCTTTTGGGAGGCCTGGCGTGAGCGAGCACCGTTCTCCCTGCATGCTCAGAACAGTTAACACTGACCAGTTTTGTCAAAGCGCGGCACTCATCCCAGCAGTGAGGGCGATATGGAAAAGACCACAGCATGACAGCGAGTCATCCAACACTACCGAATATGCATTCCAGAAGAGCAAGTCGCTCATCACTCGCATACTGAGTGCTGTCCGAAGCAGCTTCGGTGGCCTGGCGTCTGTGACCTTCTTCGTGTTTGCGGTGCTGTATGTCTTTCAGAATGAGGTGTCTCTGCGCGTGGCCAAGACGGTGTCCAAGAGGCTGAAGAGGCTACACGCCAAGGTCGAGAGAGGCGACCAGGAGATCACCCAAGCTGATCTGAAACTACTTCGCGGATGGCGGTGGCGGATACTACTGTGAAGATACTGGAAGTTATTTGCTGTTGTTGCCGAGGTACAAAATCGCCTCAAGCCGTTACTTTGACTCAACCCACATATTTTCTAGCCTAGCCTTAGAACACCATGAGGCTTCTGGGGGTCGTTAAGGGATAAAATTGTGGGTCTTTTCTGCACTTGATTAGCGCTTTCCAAGATGAAGTCTCACCATATAAAGTCAATTGAACGATGGTGGCTTATAAATGACAAGACTTCTTTCCACTCCGCCGTGGACGGTGTGCTACTCACCACAATTCTTTGGAACACCCGGTCAGCCGACGAGATCTCGTCTCGGGCGCTGTCTGGCGGGCGTCAGTCGACCTCCATCGGAGTTGTTAACAGACCTTGGCAGCTTGCTAGAAGAAGCGCATTTGTTATCTAGTCTCACCAACAGATCAGGTTGAAGTTTGGTTCTAGGAAGCAAGCTAGTGACCGGGGTCTGGTCACGACGCCGTCCAGAGAGAACATAAAGGTCAAGGCACAAACCAGCCAACAAACCTGAGGTGTGTCACGGGCTTCTTCCCATCTTATCATTCCGTATGCCCGGGGCGATTCTGAGCTCAGGCGCCAAGTGCGAGGTTCTCTTGGACTGACGTCTGAGACCAAATCCGCTCGAGCACTGCCACGAGCTTGGTGGCCCCCAAGATCCGGGGAAGTCTGTGGGGAGGGGGACTTGGCGGAGCAGAAACCTTCCAGACTGCCGGCTCCCCACACGAGAGGCACCAAGCCTAACCGCCGAGCGGCCAACAACAAGGGGCGGGAAATCCTCCTCTCGTTCTTGACTCTTTTTTACCCTTCTACTAGTGCCGCCCCCGCGGGTCTCATTTCGCTTCTCCTTTGAAACCTAGTCATTTCCTCCATTCCACCGGCTGGGCGCGCCGTGCCCAGAAAACGCCACGCGGGAGGCAGTCGAAGGCTTAACGCAAAAGGGGGGCGTCGGAACAGAACTTGAACTTGTATATACACACACGACACGACACGCAAAAGCGAGTCCGATCTTCTCGGATCCATGCCCCTGGGCCATCTCGACGCTAGTCCGGTTCAGCGCGCCTGATGGGGCTTGCCCGGCGGCCTGGGTTCAGATGTCGAGAACGAGTGGTTGAGCAGACGAAGCAATCTAGCAATCTCGCATGCGATGTGACCAGTACCATCGCCTCGGGCGCAGGGGGGTTGCAGCAATCTTGCCTGCTTGCTGAATCAACCAGGTAGCACATTTTGCGCCATTGTTCTGGACCACCAGCCCCAGGATAATGGGAAGAATGCGGGGAGTGAGCACTTGCCATTGCCAAGTCTTGGCTTCAAGCCTGTGGCTTTGGAGACGCGGCTGATATTGGTCCTTTGGCAATTGTGCCAGGGATAGTCCGTCTTGGTCCGGAATCCTGTCCAACTCTCTGTTATCAAGCCAGCTGCATACGAACGAATGGCCTCGCTGCAACCACACGGGCCAGATAAGTGCAGCGAAGCTGAGTGCGTTGGCGTAAGAATATTCGAGGGTTACACCACTTGTTCTTTTTCAAAAAAAAAAAAAAAAAAATGTCTCAGGTACTATCAATAGGCAGCGGCCGCTGACAGAGTCTCGACCATGCCAGCCCTGATACCAATAGTGATTAGCCTCAACAAAACGGAAGCTGAGGGAGGAACAACCATAAACCTTTTTGGCGCCTTGGCCAGGACTCGTGACGAATTCTAAGTCGTTCTCCCGGACAGAAGGGCCACCTCCTAGTTGTACTTACGGGATAGGTCATTTCCCTTCCAGAGCCTTGTCCAGTGGACTAAAAGTGAGACCCCAGGTGGCTTCGTCTTGGCTAGGCATTGGCATTTTTCCTTCGGGGTCCGGGGCACAAGCCATGGAAGACTCTGCCGCAGCGTTGGTAAGCCCAATCAAGAACGTTGTGCATCATCTTCCAAGATTGCCTTTCGGACTGCAGGCCGAAAGTGGTATAATATCTCGGGAGGGGTGGGATCCAAGCCCAGCATCTATAAAGTGAAAGCCTTCCCCCCATAGTCTTTGCTTAGTTTCACCTGAAGGCCTTGACACCTGCCGTTAGCTGAGCTTATACGCAGGGGAACAGCTTGCCCCCAACGTCTCTTTTCTTGTAAGCAAGGGTCCTGTCAACTTCCCCGATTATTTTCAACGCCTGTGCGTGGCCATGGCGGACATAAAAGCCCAAGTCGACAGCTCCGGCACGAGCATGGAAGAAAAGCCCGTAGGCAAAACCGTCGAGGATGTTGACGACATTGACACCCAATCCGTCGAGGGCGCAGGCTGGGATGAGTCGACGACCAAGAAGCTCATTCGCAAGATTGACTACCGGCTCATCCCCTTCCTTGCGCTCCTCTACCTGCTCTCCTTCCTCGACAGAACCAACATTGGCAATGCCAGACTCGACACCCTGGAGGCAGACCTTGGCATGCCCAAGACCAGCCTCCAGTACAACAATGCGCTCGGAATCTTCTTTCCCTTTTATGTCGCCGCAGAGGTGCCCAGCAACATGGCCATGAAGAGGTTCCGCCCGAGCATTTGGATCCCCATCATCATGATCGCCTGGGGCATCTGCACCACACTCATGGGAATCGTTCACAACTACCCCGGGCTGATGGCTGCGAGAGCGGCATTGGGTCTTGCTGAGGGCGGTCTGTTCCCTGGAATCACGTACTAGTAAGTTTACCTATGGTTTTTTTTTTTTTTTTTTTTTTTTTTTTTTGCAACTGGGCCTGTATGCTGACTACGCCGCAGCATCACGATGTGGTATGCGCGCCACGAGTGTGGTCTTCGGATGGCCATCTTCTTCTCCGCTGCGACAGCAGCCGGTGCTTTTGGCGGTCTGCTTGCGCGCGGTATCATGGAGATGCGAGGAGTCGCAGGTTTGTCTGGCTGGCAATGGATCTTCATCCTTGAGGGCATACTGACCTTCTTCGTCGGTAAGTCTCTCCTACGGTCCCAGCCACGAAGTCCGAGCAATGTGGGTGTTCCTGGACATCACCCGAGTTATTAACTCTTCTCTTCAGCTGTTTCGGCCTTCAAGTTCATGTATGACTACCCATCAACCGCACCCTTCCTCTCCGCACCGGAGCGCAAGGAGGTCACAGCGCGGCTCAAGCGCGACCGATCCTCCCTCGCGGACGAGTTCGACATGAAGTACTTCTGGGCCGCCCTCAAGGACTGGAAGATTTGGGTGCACATGTTCATCACGATTGGAGTGTACACACCGCTGTACTCATACGCCCTGTTCCTGCCGACCATCGTCGCCGACCTGGGCTACCGAAACACCACGGCGCAGCTTCTGACCGTGCCTCCTTACTTCGTGGCTTGCTTCTTCTGCATCGGCGCGGGCTACCTCGCGGACAGGATGAAGACACGAGGGATCTTCATGATCGGCTTCATGATCATCGCGTAAGCACATTGCCCTCAGCCTTAACCCCTTTTTCTTCTAGCCACCGCCAGCAACACTGACACTTTTGCCACCACAGCATGATCGGCCTCATCATGCTCCTCGCCTCCAACAGCAGCGGCGTCAAGTACACGGGGTGCTTCTTCCTCGCGACGGGCATCTACCCCAACGTGCCGCAGGGTGTCGCCTGGAACGGCAACAACATCGGCGGGTCCCTGAAGCGCGGCGTGGGGATCGCCATGCACGTCGGCTTCGGCAACCTCGGCGGCCTCATCGCCGCCTACATCTACCTCGCCAAGGACAGGCCCACATACCGCCCGGGCCACGCCACCCTGCTCGCCTTCCAGGCCATGGCCACCACCCTGAGCATCTTCATGACGCTCTACCTCCGCAGGGAGAACGCGCGGCGCGATAGGGCGCACAAGCCGCCGGGCGAGTACACCGAGGCGGAGAGGCATGCGGAGAGGGAGCTGGGGGATAATGCGACGTTCTTCAGGTATACGGTTTAGAGGTTTTGTCTTGTGGCTGTTGGTGTTTTAGAGTTGTCATTTAGAAAATCTCGAGGAGAGACGTAGATAATTTAGCTGTATCATATCTACGAAAGGTTGCCAGCGTCGACGAACCAAGTTTATCGAATATCTGTGACTGCTGGACTTCAAACGCTTAGAAGTGAACGGAAAATTGCTTGGTCGGTTTCTGCCCAACGGGACAATGTCTTTGCTGTGACGGCACAGCTTCGTAAGATGCACTGTAATGGCCTGACGTTCTGGAGAATTTTGACCTTGTGGTGTGTTGTGCGGCTCTAGTTCAGCGGCCAAGAGCGCTGTCTCATTTCTTAATTGTTGCAGGCTTTTAGCTGATCTTGATTTGAAACGAGGCAGCATCTTCTTTCAGCAGCGCATCGATTGTGAATTTAGAAAGCATGTGAGAGATAGATATGCTCCACCGCTCCGAATAAGAAAGCCGATGTTGCCATCGTCGCACGCAATGTTTTCTCCGTGACTGTAAGAATTCTTATAAGCTCTCTACTCTGCACCCTCCTAGCATTTTTGGATTCTTAGAGTCACCCGCTTTCTCGTCAGCTGGAGAGAAGGTCAGGCATAAAGTACTGAACATGTCGTATCAAAATAGAATATACCCTTTGGTCATATTTCGCACGGTGGACAGACATATGTAGTCCCTTCCCAGAGTTGACAAGGTGCGCCTCAACACTGGTCAGCTGCATTGACGGGACCGGCTGTAGAGCACTTGGCAAATGTTACTGTCATGATGACCTCCTGATGCATTACCAAGCCAAGTTCACGACTTACAGTCTTTTGTGTTATCTTCCCGTTAGGGCATGTGGGAGTTCGCTCAGCGAGTACGAGTTTCTCGTATCAGCCATCCACTCATCCTGTTCACTGTCTCGTATTCCACGCATGTCCTTCCCCACAACACCAACTCACATGATATCGGGTGCATATCGAAACGTTTCATGAATTCGATGCATAACGGGCCGCTAGAGGAGTATTGAGCAATAACCCCCGGCTGCCTCCAGGGAGCTGAAAATCGCCCCACATATTGGCCCTGGACGTGAGGGCATATTTAGGTCCAACGTCTGGTACTTCACCGAGCTGAATACAACGGGGTCGATTGCTATAAATGGAATCAGGACCACTCCGCTACCAGATAAACTCTTAGAGCTGTCAGATAAGCTTCTCCTGGGGCCGTTTAACGCATGGCTTGGCCGGAGTGATTTTCGGTCTAGAACAATCGTGAGGCTGAACTCAAATGACTCACTTCCCTGAAATTTCCCCACTTAAGCATGAGGCTATTCATGCAGGACTTCACACGAGCTAAGTGGTGTGTGATGGGGGTGGTTGGGACGAAGAAGACTTCTTATCCCTACCCTTGTGGCGAGACCTACAAGCTTGCTGAGAAGTTGTTGCTTGTCGTTCCCCTTGACTCAAGTCCTTCTCAGAATTCGTCCTTCGACATTTTCCCGATGTCCGGTCTGGAGCGATGCGAATCATGGGCCTGCGGCCTCAAGTGCCAGGCAAGAGCCGCAACAAAAATGGGAAACGAAAGTAGACCATGTTCATAAATGATAAGGATCATTATTTTTCAAGTCTATAGGAAATTGCCTAGGTTGGGTCTTGGATCACAGCTCTGATAGAGAGCACTGTCGAGTCCGGGGCAGGCTTCATTTACAGCTGCCATCAGTATGGACTTTCGGCACGGCCATGTGGTCAGTATTACTCGTGAGCTCATGACCTTGCCAGATAGATCAACATCTGCCCATGCGCTGAAACTTGGGCATCGTTCGTTTGGATTGGGTATCTATCATGAACTACGTGGCCTCCGGACGTCAACACCGTGCCGTTCTATTTGTTAGGGGGCTCGACGCGTTGGACTCAACGGATACACCCGGGCACCATTCGAAGTTGATATTGTGATTCACGCCCGTGCATAAATGTACGGAGACGAGCCCCACCAAGAGTAGGAATGGCAATCTATTGATAGACGCCACTCGGGACCGTATAGCTAGGGACGGATAGGAAGGGCGGGACGGGGAGATAAACCCGTGAGCGACTGAGTCTTGATTTGCCGATGCGTACCCAGAAAGCTGAGCATTCGAAACGCTTCACTTAGATGCAGGTCGCAAGGATCCCGAACTTATCTTGTCAATGTATTTGAGAGGATATGATGTAGATAGGGGGATCAGGAGGTCCACCCGAGTCCTGGCGTTCATCCCAAAATATGTGACAGATTATACAAGAAGACGGAGCAGGTGGTTCAGCGGGAAATTATTTTGAGGATGTAATCCCAGGAAAGTTTATTTCACAGGAAGGGTATGCTGGTTAGAACGGTGTCTGCCGTTGTGGTATGATCCCTGCGAAGTCTAGCACCAAGGTACAGTATGTTGCGAATATCATCCTTGATCATGCAGCTGGGTGTCATCTGTACATCTGGTTACGAAGACTGGTACGGAGAACTGATCTCGTACAACTCGTACGGCAGCGAATATCATTACAGGCACGCAGGAATGACATATTCTCGATCTCCAACCTTGTGACTGAACGAAATTGTGACCCAGGCAATCGCAATCATCATCAGGTCATGACGATAGTTGCTGGCAAAAAAGTGCCGAGTGCCAGCCGGTGGCGGGGATTATGTGCCCACAGAATCGATTGACCGCGCAGAGTATTGTGAAACAAAACGGACAGCCCGAGGAGCGACTCGGAAGCCCGAGAGGAATGGGCGCCCCACCACGAACGTTGATCGTCGCACGTTGTTGCATGAAAGCGTGCGTGGGGAGCCACGTGAATGGCGAGAGAAACGCAACAAGGCGTTGGTGGAATGGAAGCAAGGATGGGCAAAAAAAAAAAAAAGTTTCGCGAACAGGACCCAGCAATGAGCGGAACCAGGTCCCTACGGTCTGTCGCCGTCCAGGCCCTCCCAGGGCTGGGCTGGAGTGGGCTTGCCGGGGTTCCGCCTGGGCCACCCTCCCCTCCCACAGGGCTCGGGGAAATCTCGTTCCCAGCTGGCCTCAGCGCGTGTAACATTTGGATTGTCTCCCCGGCATCGCCAGACACGGAACACGGTTATTAATGAAATTTGCCCACCACCATTTTCCAAACAGCGCAATCCGCGCAACAGCGGCAGGGCGAGAAAGATGCTGCTGCTCTCTCCCACATGTGGGTTCCCCCATTCTTAGCCCGCCCCTCCCATTACACCTCAGCACCCAATGACCGCATCGAAGCCTGCTATTTGGGGGGACGGCCCTAGTGTCTCGAGTAGAACACATGGACACACAAGACTTCTGCCTAAAGATAGAAAAGAGGGCTGGGTGATCCACTTGGGCACCCCCACATACGCTCCTGATGAGCAAGCAGAATGCGCAGCACCAAAAAAAAAAAAAAATCTCGGATTGTAAGACGGTGAATAGCCAGATGGACAAAAAAAGGACCAATATCTGGTATCCATTATATAGCACACCGCAGCAAACAGTGTAGCGGGAGACGCACATTTGACAGGCCCTGCGGGAGGATGGGACCCCCCGCTCGGCTCGGCAAGAGGCTAGAGAACCACTGTACCTCAAACCGACTGGCTCATGGCCACCACCCGATTCACCCATCCGGGCCGTTCGAGCCAGCGCGGTTGGACGAGCTAGGGGGGGGGGGTGTGTTGCAAATTAGCAACGTAGTCATCATTCATCATTCAGTGATTGATTGGGGGGATGGGGAGGGGTGAGGGCTCGTCTATCTTTGACGGCGGAGTACGTCATGTGGCATGTGCAAAAATGTCAAAACTTGGCAAAATGCAAGGCGAGCGAGCCGTTTTTCTCTGTTGGCCTCTGAGGGAGGAGGGGAGAGAGAAACCCAGCCTGTCAGAGGGTGGATATGTAATGAATTTCTCCCACGACTAACCCCCCGGGGGGTCGGTCTGGCTCCCACTGCGCAGTTTTGACATAAGATGGGGGGCAGTGCCCGCTTCCTGCCCTCCACGTTGATCGACTTTCGGCATTCCTGGTGATCGACACTCCCTTTCCTACAAGTCATATCTTGAACAACTTTCCCTCTTGACGACCACTCGACGAAGCTTCATTCAAGACTTCCACGAACTACTAGTCTCAGACACAACGAGGCTTGGGCTACCATACAAGGCGACCACATAGCGCACACCCTCGAGGAAAAACCACTAGTCCAGGTGAGACCTCGCCAGGCCCGGAACAAGCCTTCACCCCACGTTCCTGATCTACCACTAACACGCCACCAGGATCGACCAACGCCACCGAAACTACCCACCTAGACTCTTGAGAGAGAGACAGAGCCTCCGGATCCCCGGAGCCTAGTATGCAATCATGATAGCCACTCCGGCCAAAGCTCTGGTGCGCGACGAAGCTGACTGGCGCTGTGGCTGTGGTCATCTTAATCCGGACTCGGAGAGCGTCTGTGGCGGCTGCGGCAGGAAGTAGCCGTCCTCGGGAGGGGAGCGATGTTTTTGAGGCCTCAGTGATACCCACATTTTCGCAACGTTGATTTCCTTTTTTCGGGTGTGGGACAACAACAAACATCGAATCTTTCGGCTTTCGGGGGTATTCAAAGTCAGGAAGGAGCCTTTTATTTCTTCATCATTTTTTGCAGATTGTGTGGGGAGCTGGGACGGACGTTATCAGACAGCCGAGGTCCCCAAGAGAGGTCGCCGGGCGACGGGATGCTCCGCTGATGGTCGACAGTCAAATCTCGATAAAAACGACAAAAAGACAAAAATAAATCTCATGACGGGGATCTAATTTCACTGTGTTCTGATACAGTTACCTGCCCACAGGTGTCAGGTTTTTGTGGCCTGCTCGCTGAGCTTGACCTTCACCATGGTCCGATCCACCGGCTTGGCCGTCACCTGAATACTCTGGGATGGGGATTAGCTACGAGTTCAGCTGACACCAAGACAGTACTGCAGAAGGAATTGCAGAGGAACTCACATTGAAAAGCTCCGACTTCGTCCGGTAATATCCCTTGTCATCCAAGATAGGCTTGCCGTTACTGTCCAAATCCAGCTCGCCGAGACCAACCTTTTGGAAGTCGTACCGCCTAGCAGCACATGCCAAGATGACCTTGGCCTCAATATGCGCCAGCTCCAGGCCGATGCAGGCACGCGGCCCCCTCTCGAAAGGCCTCCATGCACTCGCCGGTAGGCTTGACGTATCACCAAGCCACCGCTCGGGGATGAAGTCGTCGGCTGTGTCTCCGTACACCTTACGATCGCGCTGGATGACTGTGCTGCACAGATATATGATGCACCCGTCCGGGCAGATCTGTCTCCCGTCAGGCAGGGTGAGCTGGAAATTCGTGCCGGGCTGTGTCATCCGGACCGACGCGGCCGGAGGATGGATGCGTAAGATCTCCTTGATGAGGGCAGAGGTGTAGACCATCTGGCTCAGGATCTCGCTCCCACCGGGGGCGAGGAGCTTCTCCCGGACGACATCGGGGTCCGCGTCGGATCCGAAGAGCTCATCAAGCTCGGCTCGGAGTGCCCTTTGTTGCTGTGGTGACTTTGAAAGCTCGTAGAAGGCCCACTGAAGCAGAATACTTGTGGTATCGTGGCCAGCGAAGAGGAACACACGCAGGTTGTCGCTCGTCTGCTGCAGGAGCTCAGGGGTGAGCTGCTCGGTTCCTTGTAAGCTCAGCGCCAAGACGCTGCGGGATTTGGTCCCTCCAGCACTGAGCTGGGCATACTCGTTACGGACAATGTCTTTTAAAAGCCGGTCGAGTTTGCTGGCATGTTTCCGGCGGATGCGCTCTCGTAAGAAATTGGTGCCTGGGATGCTCGTCCCCCTGCGGCTGGTGTACTGTTCCATGATCGCCCTGAACGACAGCAGGATCTCGCTTTGCTCCCCCGGGATCTGGGCTCTGAAGTCCTGGCCCATGGTGACTGCCCCGATGATATCGAAGGTCAGCGTGACACAGTGCTCGTCGAGACAGAACTCCTCGCCAGTCCGGGCGTAGCGGTCCATGTGGTCCAGGAAAAACCTGGTCTTGTCCAGAACGATAGGCAGGACGGTGAGGAGGTGCTGAGGCGCAAAGCCGGGGTTGAGCTGCCGCCTCTGGGCCTTCCAGTGGTCCGCTTCGGACGTCAGGATGGAGTTCTTCCCGGTCAGATGCCAGATATCACCAAGGGTGGGAGACTTGGGAGTGCTCGAAGACCATTTTGGGGACGGCTTCGTGATCTGCTCGGCCATCTCGTGGTCGCAGACTATCAGCATGGGGTAGTTGATAGGCCGGAGGTCGAGGAAAAGGACTGGCGGGCTTCCCACACGGGGGAGGAAGTCTCGTATCACGTCGTCGAGGTGACGCCTCGGGTCTGGGGCGTTCTTGAACAGCTCACCCATGAGCTTCATGTGGCCCCACACGAAGGAAGTCTTCGCCTGGGGGATGCCAGCATACTGCCGAAACCGCTGGTACTGCCATTTTCTGAAGGTTTTGATACCGTAGGCGACGAGGAGCGCAAGCGCTGTCCACAGGACAGGCCCGTATTTGTCTAACATGTTTGTTTCCTCGAAGAATCAGCTGCGGCTGAGATATACAATGGCGGAGTCGAGGCACATGTAAGGCGGGTGGTTTCAGTTAGGTGGAAGACCAACGATGAGAGGTTCACGTCCGGTCGCAGGGTTCAATGGACACCGAGGGTGAGGATGGGTTAAGGATGAGGTTGGAGCTTTCGAAGGCTGAAAGTCGAAGGTTGAAGCCGGATGGGATGGGATGGACTGAGACTGAGACACTGCTGGGCTGCAATGTTTCGTTTTAGTGACCATCAAGCGCGGGAACTGCATCCCTGCCAGACTGGAACACGCTCCTTCTCCTTCTGGACCAACGACGTCGCAGCAAGCACCTGCAGAATTGCCAAACGCTGCGGCTGAACCTCTTGCATGCCAAATGTGCAATGACGGTGGTACATCTGCGTCACAAAATCAACCATGACCACAATTCCGCTGCTAGCGGCAGTGACTTCGAGTGAGGACAATCCCAAGCTGTCTATGACGCACTCCGCCGCCCGATGAGTTGGTGCAGCTGGTCATGCAGGGTCCTCCAACTCCTCCACAGCACAGGCGCGACGTGCCGGTACCTGCATCCGTATCCAAGCTCGAGCTGGTGAGATGAATTACTCAGAAGGCTATTGGGTGTAGGCCTTTTCAACACAGTGAGAGTAATGGAATGACAATGAGAACGCCTGCTCTGCATTACAACACTTTTACCATCCATGGCTGACAGAATATTCGAAAAAACCCACCAACAACAAGGAACCTGCCATCATACTATCACCGCAGGATATCAACTAGAACATCGAGCCAGTCTTATACATCAGGTACAGCAGGCCCAGCCACGCGATGATCAGCCAGATGCTGACGCCAAACACCGTCGGCGCCGCGCTGGTTTCCCTCCTCAGAAGCACCGCTCCCGTTCCCTCGCCCCCATCCTCCGACCTCTTCAGCTCCGGCTGCAGCTCCGGCCCGCCGTCCAGCGGCGTGCTCTCCACGGTGGAATACTCGTAGTCGCCTTGGGGCTGATGCGTGAGGATCTGCTGGTGTGCTGTGGCTTGCGACCCCTCAGTGCCCTCCTCGTTGTCCGTCTTGTGGCCGACTTGGTGCCCCATGAAGGCTGCAGGCGCCGCGGTGTCTTGTACTGCATGCCATTGTACGGCGTCGTCCGGTTTAAGGTCATGTGTACGCATGATATAGGGGCCAGGGTGTGAGCTGCCGATGGCCAGCACAGGTCCCAGCAGCAGGCTGGCTGCTGCGGCGAAGAAGACTGCGGCACTTGTGGGTATCATCCTCATCTCTGCTGGACGTCGACCACCTGGCTCTGTTGCTCCCTTGACGTAAGATAAGACGGCGATTCAATGAATATGCCTTTTCAATGCCAGGAGGATGGATTTGGATGTGATTTTTCTTGTCGTCTGCGCAGACATGTCCTCGTCGGGGTCAGATTGAAGCGTTTGGCGCCAGCCTTACCTGTGACACTTTGGAGCCCCTGACCTCGTCCTAGCTCCAAACCCTGACACTCGAGTGTCCACCCCCATGCATCCTGACCTTAACCCTGGGAACCCTTGAAAGTTAGTAGCCTGACGTCCTCGACTCTTGAGCAATCAATTCATCCACAACAAAGCCACGAGTGTGCTCAAATACGGCATGTTCTAGTGAAACACTTGGCTTTCCAGAAAAGAAGATTTCAATACAACCACAAGGACGTGTCTTAGTTCCTAGGCTCCCCTCTTGCTGCTGGAACGCTGAACTCGACGAGCATCTCGATCGAATCCACGGCAGAGGCTTCACCATCACCATATTCTCCTGGTCATCATCATGGCTCCACAATATTGCATCCGTTCTCTTCGTCTCATGGGTACTGCAGAAGGCAGCCCCCAAAGTTCTATCAGAGTCATTGGAGGGCCCCTACTCTCCTCAATCCTCAAGCTACTGCATAAAAGCGCCCGAGGGTTGGTATTCTAGTACTGCCTGCCTTTCCCTCCCCTGCCGCCTGTGGAAGCCACTCTCATTTCAAAGTTGCATTCCATTAACATGGCTAGGTTGATCTCTCACTGGAAATCTAGAAGGAGCCACACACCAACTCAAGACGACGGTCAGGGCTGACCGTTGTGCGCCGGCCCGTGCCGAGACGCGACTAGAGATGAGATGAACCCACGCGACAGAAGGTCACAAACTGTGGAGCCTCACGATCTGGGGTCATGGATCTGCATCTACAGGGAAACCTGACAAAGAAGCCTAATTCGTGACTTCCGTGGCGTTGGCGAAGGGTCCCTTGACTCTCCTTTCTTGTCTATGCATTACTATAAAAATAATATCAGCTTTTCAAGGTAAAAATAAGAAAGAAAAAGGTAGCTTTTCTATAGCATTATATCCTGAATTCGCTATAATAATATAAGTTTAATTATAAAAAGGATAAATTAGAAATTGTGATTGGTTGGATTTGGTTACATTCTTTCCGGGGAGTTGTATGTAGCGACATGGATAATCTTTTTCAGGTCACCCTGTACAGTAGATTTCCATTGCATACCACAGCACCCTGCCGTGCCTGACGTGCATTGCAGTGATCTTCCTCTCAGGCCCTTGGCCCCCCAAACCCAAGCCAGTGCAGGCAAGGCTGCCCCCCCCGGGAGCCGTCCCCTCCGCGGGTCAAGGATGTATGCGGAGTTGCATCGGGGCCACTGGGCCGACATTCCCCATCGTCACCCCTGGCCTCCTGCGCGTCTCCTCTGTTGGCGGGGAATGTGCTTTTCACACAGTCACATCACCAGATCGTCTTACCTTGCCCAACAGTCGTCAAAGTTGAGCAACTTGAGCTAGGCTGCGTGGGCACCGTGCCTCCACGTGCTCTGCCCTGTCCCGACCCGGACGACCGGAAATTGGACGCGCGCGTTGAGAGGCACTTGCAGTTGCAGTCACTCCCGCCAATGTTCACGTCGTAGACTCCGCAAGAGCTACCACTGCACGCAGTCGTCATCGACACGCCTCGTCCTTGCCCCGCGAAGGCGTCCCTGTCGAGCAACCTGGGCAGGACTTCCAAAGATGGAAACAATGGGGCACACACACCCGGGCCATGCCCCCCACTAGGCTGGCCTCGTTGTTTAGCGAGCGCTCTATTTTGTCCGAAATGGGGGCCGTCTATGCCTCTATACGAAATCAATCGACCGATATGTCGGCCAATGGCCACCCGACCACTGCGTCTGCCTACACTACGCGCGTAATAAATGTATAAGTACGTAGCACGCTTACGCACAGGAACATGCATGCTCTGGGGTTGCCCTCCCAGGTCTCGAGTCTCGTACTGCGCCATTGCCCTTCACGATGCGTCTCATTTTCTGGCAGGCACTTAGCGTTCTCCTCGTGAGCGTGTTGGCCACGGGCCTATCCAAGCCTCATGAGAAGAGGTTCCCCCAGGACATCCACGAGCGGACCATCCTGCAGAATGGCCAGGTCCGCCCCACCGACTACCCGGACACCCGCATCGACCCTGCAGAATATTCCTTCAACACCTACCTCCCGGATGCTGCCGAGATCTCGTACAAGGGTAGATGGGACTCGAAATATGTGTCCTGGTGGAGGTAAGCTCGACATCACTGAAAATCCCACCTTCGCGCGTAGCGGATATTGTACTAACACCAGAAACAGCGCACCTGGGATCAGGTTCGGCTACACCGGCCAGACGGTAGCCGTCAGCTTCGGCAACCTCACATCGGACGGCGTGCTGGTGGGCTACCGCATCGCCGGGCTGGACTGGCAGTTCACCAACATCACCGCGGGCGCCACGCACCTGCTGGTCACGCCAGACACGCCGGGGTCAAACCTGACCTACCCGATCTCGCCCGTGACCTTCGAGCTGCGCGTGACCAACTGGGCCTACGGCATCCAGCTCTCCGCCGTCCACGTCGCCGAGGGCGAGGGCCTGGTGCGCGTCCCGGACTACGGCCGCAGGGTCGAGTTCATCGGCGACAGCCTGACGAGCGGCATGTACACGACGTACGAGGGCCTGTCGAGCTTCGGGTACGGCATAGGCGCCGGCCTGGGCGGGTCCGAGTACAGCGTTACTGCGTACCCGGGGATTTGTGTGAGCGATCAGAACTGCTGGGGTAATGTGCGCGGGCAGTCGCGACAGTGGTTCTACAGCTGTGACACGAGTGGGAGGGCCGTCGAGCAGTACGGAGGTGAGCAGAGAATTCTGCGTTTTTGGTTCCCCTCTTTGCGTAGTGGGAGATATTGTCGCGGGCACAAAAGCAGCCACTAACCAGTGCCGTAGCGAACCTCGAGAACGCAGAGCCCTGGGATTTCTCGAAGCACCCGGCCGCCGACCTCGTAGTTATCAACATCGGCACGAATGACCAGAACGCCTACAACAACGTCTCTGCGCAGACGTACCAGGACAGCCTCACCCGTCTCATCCAAGGCGTCCATGGCGTCTGGCCTAATGCCCAGGTCGTCCTCATGGTAAGCAACGTCCAGGGGCGGGCCCCAAGTACACAGCCGGCATGACGTGCCCTTGCTCACACCCCCAACAGACCCTCTGGCTCGGCTTCTACCAGTACGGCAACAGCTACTTCCCCAACTCGCCCGACGGCTTCGAGCCGCAGGTGCGCGCCGTGCACGACTACTTCAACTCGCCCGCGTACCTGGCGAGCCCCGTGGTGTACAACGCCGTGACGAACCGGACGTGGCACCTCAACACGACGAGCGAGCCCTTCCTGCACCTGCTCAACACGAGCGGCATCCTGCAGCACAACGACATCGGGCCCCAATACCACCCCACCGACGTCGGCGCCGTCAAGGTCGCCAGCCACGCCCTGCAGTATATTAAACTAGTGCTCGGCTGGGAGCTGCTGGCCACCGGCCCCGAGATCCAGCACGAGACGCTGTACTGGAACGACGAGCAGAGCTACTAGACCCTCTCGGGTACCGAGGTGGAAGGTGTTATTGTGCGGTATGGGAGGGTAGTTTAGGATATCGTAGGGCACTTTATCACGGCTTTCGTCTTGAATCGTCGGTGCCGGGTAGCCTTGTGTATCTTACCAATCGTCATGTGAGAAACATATGTAATTCTCACAAATGTGTCGCTCGCAACGCGAATCAGTTCTCTCCGCAGAGAACACGCCTAGACTGTGGCATCTTTTCACGGCACGCTGAAGTGCGGTGTATTATATTCCCGCTACATAAGCCAAGGCCACAACATTCGCTAGCCATGGACGGCCTGCAGACAAGGTGCGCCGGTCGGCTAACCACGGAGACACCCTAGTTCTTACCGGCATCTTCCTTCAGCGACACGATCCTGTTCAGGACGATCTTGTCATCCGTGCTGTCGGTGTCCAGAGCCTGTGGGAAGTGCGTATTAGCAAATAATCGATATCAATAAAATCAGTAGCAGCCTGGGGTAATAACTCACAAAATAAGCCACCCGCATTCCCTGGAACCGGACGGACTCTGGGCCCCCCTTGCCAAGCTCGCTCTCGCCCGCCGCCTCGGGCCAGGGCGCGCGCCGCCTGACCTCGTCAATGCCGGACTCGATGATCGCGTCCGGGTAGACCACCTCGCTCTCCGGGTTGAGGTCGCTCAGGAAGCCGCCCTCGACGGCGCTCGGGTTGTCGCTCTTGAAGAGCGGGTTGTGCACGCGCACCTCGCAGCGGCGGGAGCCGTCCGTGCCGACCCACTGGATGTACGTCTTGGCCCTCTTCGCCTCGCGGTCGAACACGGCGCGCACCTCCGTGACCTTGCCGGTCGCTTCGTCCTTGGTGAAGGAGGTCGCCTTGATGGGGTAGGGGATCTGGAGTAGCCCGACGGTCTTGCCGGGGGCCAGACGGAAGTAGCTGGGGTCGTCGACCTCGCGGAAGTCGGAGCGGTCGATGTACACGGTCTTGGTGAGCTTGACGGTGTGGCTGCCCATGGCAGGGTTCTTTGGCGAGAACGGCAGCGTGAGCTCCTTGCCTTCTTCAGTGCCGATGTCCTCGATGACAACCGGGATGGGGTCCAGAACCAGCATAAGCCGCGGTACTGTGCGCTCCAGGTATTTCCGGATCGACTGCTCGAACCTGACAATCTGGATGACAGTGGCGTTGGTAGTAACACCAAGTTCGTTGACAAACTCGAGAATCGCACCTGGGGGGACACCCCTCCGCTTGATCGCCATCAGTGTGTACAGCCTTGGGTCGTCCCAACCTCGCACAATCTTGTCCTCCACTAGCTTTAGAATCTTCCGCTTCGAGAGGACAGTGCCGCTGAGGGAAAGGCGCCCGTACTCGCGCTGCATGGGCTCGTAGACTTCCAGAGTCTTGTTCAGCCACTCGTAGCTTACCCTGCTCAGGATGAACTCAGTTGTGCATAGCGAGTGAGTGATGCCCTCGAACGAATCGCATAGACAATGGGTGAAGTCGTAGGTTGGGTAGATCTTCCAAGTGTCTCCTGTGCGGTGATGAGGCTTGTCCAGGACGCGATAGGCCGCGAGATCCCACATCTGGGGGTTGCCGTCTGTTATGTCCTGCTTCATGCGGAGGAATGCTTCCCTGGGCTGGTATTTGCCGTCCCTCATATCTCTGAATTTCTGGAGGTTTTCTTCCGCGGACTGGTCCGCATGTTTGCATCGATATCGAGGACTCTCGCCCTTCTCACCGCCACGCTGCAGCTTGATTTCCGCGTCTGGGATCTTGTCAGCTAAGAACTTCCTTCCTGGGTGACATCTCACGAACCGTCACAGTGGCATACATATGCCTTGCTTAGCCCTATCAGCTTCTCCGCGAGGTCGTATAGCTTCTGGAAGTTGTCGCTAGAGTAGGTGATCTTGTAAGGTTTGAACCCGAGCCACCGAATGGTGTCCAGGATGGCAGTGAAGTAGACCTCCTCTTCTGCTTCGGGATTGGTGTCGTCGTATCTGCAGAGATAGCAGTTTCAGCGGCATGAAATATAGTTAACAGGGCATAATAAATTACCTTAGGTAGCACTCGCCGCCGTGGAATCTCGCGAAGCCAAAGTTGACTGCGATTGCTTTCGCGTGGCCGATGTGCAAGAATCCGTTTGGTTCAGGAGGGAATCGCGTGAAGACCGGCTTCATGGGCCTCTTTTCGAACACTTCAGCGAGGAAGCCCTGCTTGAACATGGCATCGGTGTCGATGACCTCCTCCTGCTTCTCCTTGGGCTTTGGTGGGGCCTTCTTCTCTGCCGGAGGCGCATCCTTCGCAATGGCTTCCTTGGCAGCCTTCTTTGCTCTCTTCTGCATTCTCTTCTTCAGCTCCCCCTTAGATACCATCTCTCCAGTCTCCTCGTCAAGCTGGAGCTTCGCCATGGCGGCATTGGCATTCTCGACCTTGTCCGCCATCGTGGGAGGTTTTGGAGGGGTAGACGGATACAATCAGGCGGGTGGGTGCGATTGCTGGAGCCAATTGGTGTTGTGCTGTAGGTTCCTGGGTGCAGGATGTGCTTATGATGTCTCGATGGTCCAATAGAAGGAAATTTGACGGCTCGATCGTCCGGCGGTCGTTGTTGAAGTGTTTGATCGCTGGCCGAGATGACTCAAAATTCCAAGCCGCAAATCCATCCAACACACGGTTGAAAGAACGAGGGGCGGTGCCCCTGATAAGATAAGCACTGTAGATCATGGTCTAAGCCCGCGGGACCGTTCAAGCTGACCCCTGCAGGCTGTGGAGCTGCGTGTAGCTACCTCCCCCGCTGTCGTCATCCCTATCCCTCCTGTTGGCCCATTATGTTGTCAGCATTCGTAACCTCAACTCTACAAACAACCACCTGCAGGCAACTGCAACTTTGGACATCGCAAGTTGGCGTCCTCCTGCCGGTCGATGTTTTTGCGCCGCTTTGCAACCAAATCAATCAAGATGTCGCTCCTCACGGCCGATGAGATCCCAACCCTCTCCTTGCTCTACAAGCTAGGCAAGCTCCCGTCGACGCCATCGGGCACCAAGATCCCGACGACCCTCTCCTTCAAGCCCGCCGGGCCCATCACCCCTTCCAAGGCGCTCAACGACCGCGTGTGCCTCGTGCGACACGATATCACGAAACTCGAGGTCGATGCAATCACCAACGCGGCCAACAAGTCGCTTCGAGGCGGCGGCGGCATCGACGGCGCTATTCACGCCGCGGCTGGCCCTGGCCTCCTGGCAGAGTGCCGCACTCTTGGAGGGTGCAAGACTGGCGACGCGAAGATCACTGGTGGACACGACCTGCCCGCAAAGAAGGTCATCCACGCCGTCGGCCCCATCTACGACCCCATCGAGCCCCAGGAGAGCGAGGAACTTTTGACTTCGGCCTACAACAAGGTGCTGAACTTGGCGGTGGACTCTGAGTGCAAGACCTTGGCCCTGTGCGGTATCAGCACGGGCATCTATGGCTACCCCCCTCTTGAGGCTGCTCCCGTCGCCATCTCCACTGTCAAGAAGTTTTTGGAGAGCGAGAAGGGCCAGAAGTTGGAGAAGATCGTCTTTGTCACGTGGGTAAAGCAGGATGTTGAGTCTTACGCCCACTACCTGCCGTAAGTGTATCAGATTTGGGAGATATACACTGTGAACACGAACCAGAGACTAATTATGTACTAGTGTTTACTTCCCTCCAGTTCAAGACGCCGCTAAGATCGAGCCGAAGGACGAGGCGGAGGCCGACCCCGAAGACGTCGAGGCCGCGAAGGAAATCGCCAGCAAGCTACCCGACGTCCCCACCTCTGAGCCCGGCGAATCCGAGCACCCCGAAAAGAAGCAGAAGCAGTGATTTTGTCAGTTTGGAGATGCATTCAACGGAGTCCAGGGATCGCAATCGGGGCAAGGTTGGGGCGTTACGGAATGGAACATTTGGTCGGGCACGTGACTTGTGACTGGTGCTTTCGCATAGCCAGCATGCCATCTTGAAATACCCCTGAAGCTGTCGTCATGGCCGGCGGGATACTTCGTATACGCCTCGGCTAACAAGTGACAGAGAAGACAGCAATGAATTTAATGAGAGCTTTCCGAGAATGACCTCGTGCTGATACTATACATCCCGCAGACATAGAGAGCATACGCCCTTCGACTCTTCCTTCCAAGTCACCCATAACAACAGCCACCTGTCGTAAGGCCCTTTAGTCTCTTCAAAAGTCATGCGGATCATCCACGCGTTCGCGCCCGGGTTCGCATTGAATCTAAGGCGCGGGGGATGGCTGCTGGCCCTGGGATCCCCCTGGAGGCGGGGCTGGTGCCCAATCCTGGAGAAATGGTGGTATCTCTGGAGGAGGGGAATGTCGTGGTGCTTCTGGGGGGTAACCCTGCTGCGGGCCCTGAATTCCCCCTTGAGGGGGGAATGGTGGCTGTGGAGGGACAAACTGCTGCGGGCCCTGGAACAGTTGAGGCGGAGGCGCCACTGGAGGAGGAAACACGTCCGGCCCCTGATATCCTCCCGGAGGCGGGAATGGTGGTGCCTGCGGGGGAGGGAACACGTCGGGACCCTGGAATCCTCCTCCGGGCGGAAATGGATTCTGTGGAGGAGTGGGAACAACCTGCGGCTGGTACTGAGGTTGTCCGACGGGGTCATAGAGCTGGTTTGCCGGGGCGGTGCCTGCCCCGGGCGCCTGCATTCCGACCTGCTGCGCGGCCATATTCCCCAGCGTGGCGTACGGGTCCGGCCCCAGCGCCGACTGCCTGATCAGGGCCTCCATCTGCTGGTTGGCCATGCTGTTCTGCGCGGCGGACCTGCCGAAGAGGTTGTTGGCGCCCGGCACGTTGTTGTTTATCAGGCCCGACCCGTTCGGCCCCGCGACGGTCTGCAGGGCCCGGTTGTAGATTGACGGGACGACGTGCCCTGCTATCGCTGGGTCGGCTTGAACCTGGCGTCCTCTCTCATTGACGAGGGCCCTGATAGCATCGAGTGCGTTGGGCCCGTTCAGAGGCTGGCCGGAAAACTGGAGCTGGAAATCAGGCGGAGCACCGGGCGCCTGCGCCGTCTGGCTGAGCCCTTGCATCAGACCTCTGAAGGCGGCGTCGGGGTCCGCCTGGAATTGCCCGCCGGGGAGTTGGACGTCACCACCTGGGGTGAAGCCTGGGGCCAAGGCGGCGACAAGGCTCTGGCCTTGGGCTTGAGCCTGCGCTGCCGCCATGGGATTCACCGACGGGCCCGCCTCGGTCGGGATGTTTGCCCGGTGGAACCGGGTGAGGCCGGTCCTCGGATCCCGGTACGGCACGAAACCTGACGCCTCGGCGTACACCGTCTGCCAGGGGTTGATCTGCCCCCGCGCCGAGACTGTGTTGAAGCGCTGGACGCGCATGGTGGCATCAGGCATGGCCTGGTTCGGCTGCAACAACCCCGGGTTCATCAACATTCTTGTCACATTATCTGCTGAAGGCGGGTGTTGCCGCGCCATCTCCATTTGATGACGCTGCTTGATGGCGTTGACGAAATCCGATGCACTGGTCAGTCTCGCGTTGAGATCTGCATCTGGTGTGCCCTCGCCCGGATTCCTGAGCCTCTCGCCTCGCTCGAGTATCGCTATCCACCCTTGTGCTATTGTCAGCAGTGGCCCTGTTAACCTGCGTAGTTGCTGCTTCGCCGTCTTTTCGATCCTCTGCGCGGTATCCGTGGCGGTGATAGGCTTGATGTACTTGAGGTCCTGTATGTTGAAGACATAGGCCAGGGGGTTCTGATCGAACGATAGTCTTACTGGCCGGATGGCGTGCTGGATCGCTACGAACTTCTCCCTCAGCACCCTCCTTGCGTTGTCCAACAAATCCACGGCTTGGTCGTTTTGGCTTATTCTTGCAAGAACCGCCGGATCGGTGGATTCGAACACATCCAAGAATTGAATGCAGTCAGCAGCGATCTGGCTGTGAATTGCATCCAGGCGGAGACACAAGTTTATGGCATAGAAGGTCAGGATGTCAGTCTTTGTTTGAAAATCCGTTTGTTTATGATAATCGGCAGTAATGAGCTGATAGGTCGCCACCTCATGGCTCAGGGCTCTGTGCATCTTGGACATGGCGGCGAAGGCTTCCCTGAAATACTTGAATTCGATAGGCGGCGGGGGGTTCGACGAGGGCTGCGCCGGGTGGACTTCGTTGTAGAGCTGTTGCAGGTACGCAACTAGTTGGTCGGCTTTGGCTTTGCAGTCGTTTCGTTTGGTCCACAGCAGCTTGTCCGCCAACTTCCAGTCACTGTGCTGTTTTCTCCACCGGACCATGCACGCTTTTGGCTCAACAGCCAGGTAGGCCAGTTGATTGAGCCATTGCCAGAGCAGGCCGTGCTCGTCGTCATACTGGACTCGTTCCGATACGTCTTGCATCCATCGCCTCGCTGGAACACCGAATCGAAGTTCAATCTGTCTCCACTTGAAGACTGACCAGCTGCCATACGCTCTTGGAGCGTCCAAGGGCCAAATCTTCATTGCCTCCGGGCCCCATTTCTGCAGCTCTTGGTCCCAGAAACTCTGGGTGAAAAATCTCTCGAACATGGCGAAGGGTATGGCCTTGTAAACGGGTTGTTGAAGTGGCGGCCATGAGTTGAAGGAAACCATGGTCAAAACCTCCAAGAGAAACCGCGACTGTGGGAGGAAGTCACCCTTACCCAGACTGTCTGGAGCGCCACCCCAATACTAAGTTCAGAAAAAGAAATAATATCAGCATCTAATGGCGAACTGGCCAAACCAATGGGGATCCATGCTCACCAGATTTTCAGTTGCCCAGCCTTCTTCACAATCATCCTCGTCTTCGAGGTAATCGTGGCCCTCGTCTTGTTTTTGTATCAGGTCCATGTCAAGATCCTCGTCGTTCCACACCTGTCGGTATCCAAACACTTGCAAGAGATTTAGCGCCTCATCGCCGATCTGGGCCGCCCAAGTGGGGTTGAACCTCAACCACAATCTGTCCACGTGAAATAATTGGGCTCGAGCGAATACTATGGCATGCTGTTTGAGCGAGCGAGGTTAGCAACTGACCAAAGACATTGCCCTTTCTCATCCACGCACACAAAGTTCATGCACCATGGTCGAGGCCAGGGTGAAACTGCAGGCCGCCTTCTCAGCTTGAGAATACTCTTCAATCAGCAGTGGCCATATATAATCCACGCTGAGGCTTATACGGATTACGAAAGGCCGGTTATGTTCCTCGCGCTCGGCTTGTATATCTGTCCATGCCATCTGGTGCTCGTCTGCCATAGTCTGTCCGGCATTGTCGGTGTACCTTGCGTTAAGCTGCCAAACGAGACACTCCTTCAGGATCTCGCAGACCCAGCGGACCGACTCGAACCCCATCTCCTTCAATCGCGCTATCTCCGGGTAGAACTCATCCGGATCTTCCTCTAGGTGTACGGCGAAGTAGTCTTTGCGCTCGACTCCCGCGTCGCGATGAACCTGACGCTGTGCGTATCGTCAGTAAAATACGAAAGGACCCTCCTGTCTCACGGGTCTCCTGCAATCTGCAACGGCTTCATCTTGGGAGCACAATGGCCTCGCACGGCGGCAGGTAACCCCATCCCAAGCCAAGCCGCAGCAAAATGGACCGGCGGATAATAGTTAAGTGAATGGGGGACCATACTATATCTTGTTGCTCATTACCAGCCTGCCTCGAATCCTGACATGGGCGCATCCTGTAAATATCTGCCCAGGCCCATGTTGCTGGGTGATCGCTGTTGAGGATCATTGTAGCCAGCTGAAGTGCGGGTTGGATAGCGAGCCAGAAGTAGTCATTCGCCTTGTAAAGTTGCTGTCAGTATGGTGTGTTGCGTTCCGCCGGGAGCAACTTTAGGGGGGAAAGAAACACTTACAGCACAGTATTCGCCTTGTTGTCCTGGGAAATTGTACACTTTTCTTGAGTCGAGGGGCACGCCGAATCTTGGATTTGGGACGGTGGCCCGGTTGGTAGTCACCTCCCATTTGTCCTTGGTAAAGAAGCTGTGTTTGGCTTGGTCAACGCTTGATGTGCACCGATGTCGTCGTCGGTCTTCAAACTTACTCGTGTAATGGGGTGACCAGATCACTGTTCGCGGTCTTGTCCATTGTCCATACACCCGTCTCCACGAGCTGCGACCGATGGTGTCAGTGAGTTCTATTACCACGGGGGAGTTGCCAGTCGAGTTACAGCACATGCGTACCTCGTTGGATGTACTGCCACTGAACAGTATTCTCTGGTATTCATCCCGTAGTACCAACTTATCCAACCCGTCTATGTATTGCAAGAGGGCACCGGCAATTTGCGCATCACAGGCAGCACCTAAGGTCGGATTCACGTTTCCAGCAGCCACATGGTTGAGCACTCGTTTAAAATCGTCTTCGGTGGCCATGCCGCCCTGACCGGCCACGGCGTCCCGGTACCGATTAAACAGTGCATCGTAGTCGTCCCTATCAACCACGTTTCTTACGCCTTGGTTGCTCGGCGTCACCTGGGGGCTCCCAAGCTGGACGTTGAAGTTCCCCTGCGTCGGGGTGGCTCCCGACTTACCGTACATCGCGTCGTCCTTCATGGCGGGATCCACCCCATACCTTTTGGCGGCAGCCGTGAGGTCCCTCAGCCCGTCCTCGTCCCGGAGAGCGGGCCTTTGCGTCTGGAGGAACCCCTGCTTCGCGTACATTTGGTACTGTGGGTCATTGACGGGGTCCTGCCCAGGCTGCCCCGTGAAGATGAACCGGTTTGACCAGTCTGGGTCGGTCCATGGCGGCACAAATTCGACATATTGCATCTGACCTCCGGCGCCCGACGCTGCCATCTTCTGGAACATCTCTTTGCGGAATTGCCCAATTGGCAACGGCGCAGTTCGCACATCCGGCCGAGTCCAGACCCCATTGGGATCCAGGAAGGTGTACGGGTATAGGGAAATGAGCTGTCTAAGTCGGTCATCTTCCCTCCCAGTAAGAGGAGCTGGGACCGAGTCATCACCCTCATCTTCAGCGATATCGTGTAGTTCGTATGTTGCGGGAGAAAGAGGAAATTGTGGTGGGTAGATGTCATTCTGATCTCCGTACGATGAATGGTCGGACAACTCCTCCCCTGACTCGGAACCATCCTCATTTTCATCGTCGACATCATCCTGATCTTCGTCATCCTGTTCGCCGTAGAACTCGGCCGGGATTGGGCCACCCTGGCTACCGTACTGGCTACCGTACGGGTCCATGCTTATTTTCAACTGTCTTGATTGGCTTGATCTATTCGATATTGAACATGAAACCACCAGAAAGTAATTTGCTGCAGGTACCTGGATCTTCTCGCAATACAAGTTGACAATACGAGTCTATTTGGGCATCGGAAATCTTGATTGGCCTGGGCATTTTGTCCACCGGTACTATCATGCGGACAAAGCACCATCATTCTCAGTTGCTAGGTCCAGACTCGAGACTGAAAGAACTATAATTATCGGTACCGCTTCCGGAGAACATGTTCTCTCAATTCTTCTCACACAAAGCCTCAAGTATCTAATCCCGATGGTCGCCGTTTTGGCCAAGTGTGAGCTATTACGCACCTGTGCTATTGCCTAATCGTTTTTCCTTGAACTGTCACAAGAGACATATTATAATTGTCGATCCCACGTACTGTAGAAAAGTGTCCAACATATCTGCACTTTCGCTGACTCATGATATGTAGGCGCAGCCTTTACACGGATTGCATAACGGGCATGCCGTCCGTGTGGCTAAGCCCATCAATGAAACGAGATGACATTTACCGTGACATTTGTATTTCTGCTAATAGTGGCACTTCCACCATTCAATGTGTTTACAGCATCCGGAAATCGTATGGCCATCACTTGACTTGCGCATGTACTGATCACAGCTATCTAACAACCCGCTATTTTGCCGTAACTCAGTGCTTCGTGTCGCTAGAATCAGAATTGCACGGCAGGGGAGACAGCCCCATCAACCAGCAGGTTGGTGCCGCTCACGAAGCTCGCCCTGTCGCTCGCAAGCCACACGACCGCGTCCGCAACCTCCTGAGGCTTTCCCATCCTCCCCATCGGGTTCTCCTTGACCTGCTGCGCGAAGAACTCGGGCTTCTCCCTCTATGCTGCCCCAGATGCCGTCCTCAACATAAATGTTCCCGGGGCTGACGGAGTTGGCCCGGACGCCCGAGGGCGCGAGCCTGTGCGCCAGCTGCGAGGTGTAGTGCACCAGCGCGGCCTTGAACGCGCCGTAGGGCGAGGGCGCGGTGAAGTCGATGTAGCGGCCCGAGACGGAGGAGATGGTGACGACGCTGCCCCTGGACTCCTTGAGGTGGGGGGTCGCGGCGTCGATCAGGGTGTAGGTGCCCACGATGTCGGTCTGGTACGTCGAGTCCCAGTTCGCGCGGCTGTCGTCCACGGCCAGGGCGGAGACGTTGGACACGACGACGTCGATGCGGCTGCTGACCTTGGCGCACTGCTTGACCCACTCGGATACCTGCTCGGAGTTGGTGATGTCCACGGTGTGGCCGAGGGCTTTCCCCTGGCCGTAGGACGAAGACAGGGACTGCTCAGTGGCGACGACGTCCGGCTTGGTTCGGGAGCAGAAGTGCACGATGGCACCCTCGTCAAGGAACGACTTGACAATAGAGAGACCGATGCTCTTGGTGCCGCCTGGTCATGGTCAGAATCGGCTCGGCTGTTGTTGTTCCTGTCGTGAGATCGCATGCATGCGTACCTGTCACCAGCGCGACCTTTCCCTGGAGTCCGAGTTGCATATTCGTTGAGTTGAGATGTGAGCAAATCGAGTGAGTTTAGTTGAGGGAGGAATGAGGAGACGAACGTCGTTGAATTAGACTCGGCCAAGTTGCACAACTTGGAGGACAGGCCCACTGCCGTCGGGCGACCCGGTTGGAGGTGGAGGTACTAGCGCAAAAGAATTTCACATCTTGTCGACGGTGGCCATGCAAACCAACATTCAAAACTGGAACGTCCCTCAATCTTTTGGCGAAGTCTTGTCTCTGACACTCCCTTGGCTTGTGCTGCTGAGACGGTGTACCAGGCTGGCAGTTGCGTTGGTGAGCGCCGAACCCTGCTTGAGTCCAAACCCTCTGGTTGGGGGGGGGGCCTCATTTATCCAGGAGTATGTCTGCTTTCAGGGTTTTGTGAATCAAGGGTCCGAGTCCCATGTCTTTGTCTTCTACAGTGGTGACGTACCACAGTTGGTCTGTTTGCAATAGACAAATCCAATCCAATTCCCAGCATTATTCCTCGCCAGGCAATTGCCCCTTTTCAGTAAACATCCTCGCACGATTGGCTGAGATTGCCTTGTGGTTGCATCTTTTCTTGGCTTTGAAACATCTGTCCCCTGCAGGGGGAGGGATTCGTGCTACAACAAGCTGATGTTTCTTCGAGGATGCCTCAGGGCCAATCATTCGCAACCGCCAGGGACGGCCACCAGATCCAACGGCCAGACTTAAGGTCGGCCAGGACGCCCTTCGCCATGGCCATGGAGGCAGACCGTGGGAGCAACAAGCTCATTCTCTTGTTCATTCTTTCGTGCACCAACAAATTGGACGAAAATTGCAGGCCAATTTTCCAGACCATTCATTCACTATGCACGCCCTTCACGCAACTCTTGTGACGCTTATCCTGTCCATCGTGGGCACCACCACAGCAGCCAGTGGCGATGGCGTGCCCCAGGCGACCAAGTACATCGACAGCAATTCAAACATCACATTCCTTGGCTACGCCAACAAGGGTTATCACTTCGGCATGGCACTGCCCTCCGACCCCAAAGACGATCTCATCGTACAGCTCGTCTCGCCCCTGAAGGACGGAGGCGGTTGGGGCGGTATCGACTTCGGCGCCTCCATGACAGGCCCCCTAATGGTCGTCGCCTGGCCCAACACGGCTAAGGCCAACACCGTAATGATCTCGCCCCGCGTCGCAACGGGCTACGAGATCGACAACGGCGCCAACGCCTACAATTCAAACCCCATCACCATCACTCAGATCCCAGACGGCACCTTTGTCAACGACACGCACGTCTCGGCCACTTTCGTTTGCGGGGGCTGCCTGAACGCGGACTCGTTCGGCGCCGCCAACAAGACGGCTACCTTTGGCTATGCCTACGCGTACGACCCCGTCGCGGACCCGGCGGACCCGGACACGAAGCTCTCGGACCACACGGCCAACGGGGAGCCGTACGGCGCCTTTGGCGTCACCGTCGCGCAGGCGCAGAGCGGCGAGTACTCCACCTGGGCTGCCATGACGGGGTCCGCCGCGGCGGCGTCTGGGACGGCTGCAGCAGGTGCCTCGGCGACGGGCGGGGCCGGTGCGGCTGCTGAGACTGGGTCTTCCTCTTCGTCGTCGTCGTCCTCATCATCTGGAGGCGGATCCTCTTCTTCTTCGTCAGACTATTCCGATGCTTCTGGCCTGAGTGGTGGTGCAATTTTCGCGCTGGCGGGCGTTGGCCTGATCTATGTTCTGCAGGCAGTTCAGATTCTTTGAGATACCCCTTTCTTCGTTCATTGTATGGGAGGCTAGATGTTGCTGGGGCATAACATTGAGCCCTGGTCCCTAACCGGATCTGGTCGTGGAGTTACTGGTCTTTTGTAGTGGTCAGGCTTGATCTGGAGTTTTCGGGGAGTTGCGCAGAGGCATTTTGCATCCATCTGGGAAGGAAAAGCCACCGGCAGCGGTGCGCATGCAGAGAGAGTCTAGGCGTATTTGAGAAATTTATATCCAAAGACAGACTTTGTATGATGTGACTGTATAATTTTGGACTGTGAGCCTACAAAAACTGACACTACAATTTCATTGTAACCCCTCCACAGTGGTACCGAGTCCCCCCTTTTTCGACTGGGTAGAAGAAGTCACAGCATTCAATAGACCCACGAAGATATTACCTCTGTATTGGGCTGTACAGGCCAGTCAAGGCAACCCTGGGCAATTCGCAGGGCCTCATATAAGCTGACACCTGCCTAATTTGTACTAACCTCAAGATTATTTCATCCTCGAGGTCCAACATCTCAAGGCCTGGAAGGACAAGTGATCCCACGTTTGTTTTGTTATTGCTGGGTCTGACATGCCCACATAGTAAAGAAAGACTTGTGTTTTCAGGGTCTCAAAGTTCTTGTCTATAGTCTGTTCGGAAGAGGTCCGCATCTGGTTTCCGCCTCTGCACGGTGTGTGCAGGTCTTGGCAGTGAATTGGATGCCTAATACTGGGGTCAAGGATCTGTGGGCACCGAAGAGCGAAGCCTGGGCCCTTTCGTGAAGACGCATACTTCTCACATAGTCCACTCCCGGATCGGCGTTTGAGACCTGCTGGAGTGAAGCATCTCACAACGATGGAGCCCACGCTGGAGTGGCTCCCAAACGAGCTGCTGGACCCCATACTGGCCGACCTCGACGTCCGCGACGTAGCCAGGCTGACGCAGTGCAGCAGGCGCCTCCGCGGGCGTCTTGAGGCAGAGCTCTACAAGGACACGGGTCGTGTCTCCCGGGCCACAGAGTGGGGCAGCAAGTCCGGCAACATCGACTGCCTGCGGGCGGCAGTGCGCCACGGCGGCGGGTTCGACGTCTTTGCGCTGTCCTTTGCGGCCAGGAAGGGTCAGCACGAGGCGTTTGCGTTCATGCTCGACCACGGTGCCCGCATCGAGGTCGTGCCCACGGACGACAGGACGCTCCGGCACCAGGTGTGGAAGCTGATGAGGTCGCTGAGCCAGCCGGGCAACTTTGGCATGATGAGGCGGTTTTACGAGGCTGGGCTGGACAGGCAGGCACGTGAGGCAGGTCTATGCCCGCAAGCTGTGTGGCCTCTGGGCAGGGTCATTGGGCACGGGGGGCCGGACGTGCTCGAGCGAGTTCAGCTGCTCTTGGACCGCGGAGGCATACGGCTGAACAGAAGCTGGCCTAACAGTGGCTCACTCATCTCTCTGGCCATCGCGGCTAATTCGCCGGACGTGGTCGACTTCCTCGTTTCCCACGGCGTCGACATTCACGGCAGGGAAGGGAACAAGCCAAGGTCCGTCGCCAGGTCAAGAGGTTGGCCTTGTCACGTGCCAGTCTTCGCCGCAGCACACGAGATGGCGAAGTCGGACCAAGGCGTCCTTATGATGCGCCTGGTCCTGCAGCATGGGGCGGATGTCAACCACCGCACCAAGGTTCTTCACTGGCCTCGGCAGGGGTACTGGGAGCAGACCGATTACTACTGCACCACGCCTCTGTTTGTGTTCCTTGACAGTGTCCGGTCTTGGAAAGACGGCTCAGGACAGGATATGATCGAAGGGCTCGAATTTCTCGCCAAGCACGGCGCATTGTTCCGGCTTCCTGACATGGAGGAGCCCGGAGACGTGGTGCCGCCGTACAGTTATACCAGACCCCCGCTGCCCATCGACCTGCTTTTGGGACGCTGGGGCTTGCAGACGCTCAACAGGCCGCGGTTCCTGGCGATCATCAGATTTCTCGTGAAGCACGGCTTGGATGGCGCAGGACTGTCGCCGGAGGAGGTGGCAGGCATCATAGCGCGAGATGCCGGGTCTAAAACTCTCACTTCTGAGTCGCCCGCTATGTTGAGGGGGCGCGGCTTGCTATTGGATGTCCTGCTGGAGAGCCGGACCGCGCTGGAGAGCACCAAAGTGCTCGACTGGCTGCTCATCAAAACCGGGCAGACAGTAGACAAGCTGCGTACAAGATATGGCCAGGCCTTAGATAGCCTGGCCTCTGCTGGAGCGACCACCGACCATGACCGTCTTTCCGATGGCAGCCTCAGATCTAACGAGGGTGTCAAATTGTTGGTGATGAGGGGAAGGCCGGCGGGATGACATGCACTCCTCAACTATACCTTGGAAACACTCATTTCAAGGTCCAAATGCACAAATGGTGGACGATGTGGTAGAACATAGAGTAAAATTTCCACATTTTGGAACGATCGATAATTCGACATAAAAAAGGCCACTAGGGATTTAGTTGGACATGGTCCCCAACGTTGCGCCGTCGCGTGAAGGGCCACGGGGTGGACGGGCTCCGAGCTAACAAGCCAAAACCTGGGGCCGCGAAAAATAGCAAGGGACCCGGGAATGGCAAGGGTGAGTGGCAGGGCCCTTGTCAATGGTCGTGTAAGCAGGAGGACGAGGGATGCAGGTGAGCGTGCCGTCCGCATTGTCATGGTAATAATAATAAGGTGGATGGGATCCTCGTGCCGCACCGGTGCAGAGGAGGGCTGACGGGCTGAGATGCTGACGGCTTGCAGGTCTACATGGGCTTACGCCGCACATAGCCCCGTGCAACGCAACGCACCGAGTTGTCTGTTGGGGCGGACAGCGTCGGGCGTGGAACAGGACGAACCAGGTGGATGCAATAAAATAGTCCCCCTGCTGGTCGACCTCAGTTGGCGGCAGGACGATGGTCGGAAGTGGCACTGCCCAGCCCAGCCGGGCGAGTTGTCTGTGTAGTGCCAGCTTGTGCCTGGCCCTCGTTTGGAATTACTGGGATGTTGCATGCTGCGACAGTCTGGCTGTGGTTCTAATCCTGGAGACCAGACAGTTGGGGCTCGGAGAACCCGTGGCGGACTGGCCTCACCCGACTGGCTCGAGCAAGAGACATCAGAGGAGCGTCGAGCCTGCCGTTCTATGGGCCGTCCGAAGCCACGCACACTTTGCATTCACACAGCAAATAAGCCGAACGCCGACGGTTCGCGATGGCTGTTGCGAGGGGAACAGGGCGCCAGCAAGGGGCAGGGCTCCATATCAAGACAGCTTATCATTGCTGATAACGAAAAAAGGAGACAGGTTTGAAACAGGGCTTGTTGTTCCCTCTCGACAGTGAATGTTGGTGGCTTGAGCCAAACTGCGAACAGTGACGTCGCCAGGCTGTACAGTATTGCAGTGTTCGAGTCGTGTCAATATTGACGAGGGCAAGTGGCAAAGTTTATCGATGAGAAAGTGTGTTGTGCCTGTGCCTCGTGCTCTTGAGATGCACGCCGGACCAGTCACTGCCGACGGTGACGGACGGTGATGTCGAATCCAGACGGACGGAAAAGTGAAAATGCCACCCACGACCTCAACCCGCCGCCCACTTGCCCCTCCGGGCTGCCGCATGAAATTTGCCGCCCTCACCGCCTTGACGTGGTTCCTCATCCGGACTAGCGCCCCTGATCGATAAGCGATAACCAGCCAATCAATGGTGGGGTAATCCTGGACCAAGCAGGATCGGGTGGTGGCCACCCCCCATTGCCCCCCCACCCACCACAGCTCTCACAGTCCCCAACGGCTTGGACAGGCACAGCGGCGAGGGATTGATGACTTGGGAGACTGGACCGGGCTGGACTGGGCACCTTTGGACCCCTTGGACACCTAGGCACCCCCCGGACAACACTGCAACACCACCACCAGCACCGAACTTTTTTTGGGCAGAAAAAAAAGTTTTCCAGCCATTTTCAAAATTCCCACCCTTAGTCAGTCAGCCTGCCCGCGCTCCCTCCGCCCTCTGCGCTTTTAATAAAGCCACCTCTTCCATCTTCCCACCCGACCTCTTCCTCCCGACACATACCCACCCTCCGTTTTCTTTCCCTTAATACCCATCCTTCTATTCTGCTCATCCTGCAAACAGTTGTGGTCTCCTCGACGACAACGACAGCAGCAGCCCGAGCATTTCCTCCACTCGGTCTTGGACATCTAGACTCGAGGTCCGGAACCCTTTGGTTAGACCCGACCCAGAGGCCTCGATAGAGCAGCAGGATTCGACCTCCATCGACTCTCTTGCTGTGGGTTCTCTGTTTCCCTCCGACCTTCCTCCATAGATCGCGCGCGGTTTCCGACACGATCTCCCTCCTATCTTGAATAGACACACTTCGGTCCGACACACCTTGCGGCTTGTCGACAGTCTCTACATAGATTTTTTTTCCCGCAGATTATACCGTCATTTTTGACACCAGAAAAACCAATAGCATGGCTGCCAAGGAAAACGCCCAGAGCATCAAGGTGCTCGACGAGCTCCTGTCGAAGCTCAACATCTCCAAGGATGCCGCTGAGATCAAGGGCTCCTCTCTCGAGCTGGCCTCTTTCATCAACGGTCCCATCCAAGACTTCGATGTTCCCATCAAGTGAGTAGCCTTTCCCTGTGCCCCGATTCGTTTGCGCCGTTGCAGCAGAGCAAAATTACATGGTCTGCGAGATCATTTTGCCCTGGTTCGCCTCTGCACTATTCGCTGCTGTGGGTTTCTTTGGCCTGCAGCGCAAATGCAGCAAGGGTGCGCCGTGCCTGGAGCGTTTGGCTTTTGCCGATGCAAATTTTGCATGTGCGTTTCGGGTGGCAACTTGGGCGCCGCGACCTTGGGGTCAGGCTCATGTCTGCCCCAAAAACCCCGCTGGACATGCGGGTTTTAGTTGTCCGGCTGCACTCTGGGCGCTGAAGCGTCCAACCCAGCCCACTAAAAATCCCGGGCTCCCGACAACCTCTTTGTCGGTTTTTGGTGGAACACGGCCGCTAACATGTGAATCCCTGCAGGACCATCGAAGGCCTGAAGAAGCAGCTCGGCAACAAGAAGGATGCCGCTGCTCGCGAGAGGGCTCTCAACGCCATCGAGGCCATTGCCCGCCACTCCGAGGTCTCTGCACACGTCGAGCCTTTCCTCGTCGCCCTCCTCCCCGGCGTCCTGGCTGGCGCCGGTGACAAGATCACCGCCGTCAAGACCGCTGCTTTCTCCGCCGGTCTGGCCATCTCCGAGGCCGTCAACCCCAACGCCATCAAGAACCTCATCCAGCCCCTGAACGAGTCTCTCCGAAATGCCCAGAAGTGGCAAGAGAAGATGCTCGTCCTGGACATCCTCGACAAGCTCGTCGAGACCGCCGCCGTCCAGACCACCTTCCGTGTCCCCGATCTGCTGCCCGTCATTTCCGAGGCCATGTGGGACACCAAGAAGGAGGTCAAGGAGCGCGCCTACAAGGCCATGGAGAAGCTTTGCACCCTCATCTCCAACAAGGATATCGAGAAGTTCATTCCCGAGCTCATCAAGTGTATCGCCAAGCCAGAGAACGTCCCCGAGACCGTTCACTTGCTCGGTGCCACCACTTTCGTCACCCAGGTCGAGCAGCCCACCCTGGCCCTCATGGTTCCCCTTCTGGACCGTGGTCTGGCCGAGCGCGAGACTGCCATCAAGCGAAAGTCTGCTGTCATTGTTGACAACATGTGCAAGCTTGTCGACGACCCCAACATTGTCAACCCTTTCTTGCCCAAGATGTGGCCTGCCCTGAACAAGAACTACGACAACCTGGCTGATCCCGAGGCTCGTGGCAAGACGAAGCAGGCTCTGGATACCCTTGTCCGCGTCGGTAACATCCAGAACGGCAAGATCCCTGAGCCCACGCACCACAGTGAGATCAAGATCGTCCTGGCACACCTCAAGGACGTCCTCTCCGTCAAGCACAAGAACGTCACTGGTGACAAGTTCAACCCCGTCCTCGAGCACATCTCCGCCATTGCTGGCGAGCTCATCGACGAGAAGGACGTCGACTCTAGGTCCTGGGTTGACAAGCTCAAGACTTACGTCGCCGTGCTCGTTGGCGATGACGCCGCCGAGGCTGTTATCGAGTCCCTCCGCCAGAAGGCCTCTCCCGAGGCTGCTGCGGGCGGTGACCGTCCTGAGGATGAGGACGACGAGAACCCCGATCTGTGTGAGTGCGAGTTCTCCCTCGCCTACGGTGCCAAGATCCTGCTCAACAACACTCGTATCCGCCTCAAGCGCGGTCGTCGTTACGGTCTGTGCGGTCCCAACGGTGCCGGAAAGTCAACCCTCATGCGTGCCATCAACAACGAGCAAGTCGAGGGTTTCCCCAAGCAGAGCGAGGTCAAGACAGTGTTCGTGGAGCACGACCTTGACGCTGCCGACACTGAGATGACCACCATCGAGTGGACAATGAAGAAGCTCGAGGAGGCCAAGGTCGAGGCTACTGAGGCTGATGTCAGGGCTCGTCTCAACGAGTTCGGCTTCACCGACTACATGATCAACGGTCTCATCACCTCCCTTTCCGGTGGTTGGAAGATGAAGCTCGCTCTGTGCCGTGCTGTCTTCGAGAACCCCGACATTCTGCTGCTCGACGAGCCTACCAACCACTTGGATGTGAAGAACGTCAAGTGGCTCGAGGAGTACCTGGAGAACTCTCCCTGCACTTCTATTATCGTCTCCCACGACTCTGGTTTCCTCAACCGCATTTGCCAGTACGTCATCAACTATGAGCGTTTCAAGCTCAAGACCTACAAGGGCAACCTGGAGGAGTTCGTCCGCAAGAACCCCGCCGCCAAGTCCTACTTTGAGCTTGGTGCTTCCGAGATGGAGTTCACCTTCCCCGAGCCCGGTTTCCTCGAGGGTGTCAAGACCAAGGCCAAGGCTATCCTGCGTGCCAACAAGATGTCCTTCCAGTACCCCGGCACAAGCAAGCCTCAGATTACGGACATCACCTTCCAGTGCTCTCTCGGTTCGCGTATTGCTGTGATCGGACCCAACGGTGCCGGAAAGTCAACTGTCATCAACGTGCTCACCGGTGAACTCATCCCCACAGCTGGTGAGATTTGGGCGCACGAGAACATCCGAATTGCCTACATCAAGCAGCACGCTTTCGCTCACATCGACAACCACCTCGAGAAGACACCATCGGAGTACATCCAATGGCGATTCCAGACCGGTGAGGATCGTGAGACCATGGACCGAGCCAACAAGGTCATCACCGAGGACGACGAGCAGGCCGCCAGGAAGATCTTCAGGATCAACGGCACCCAGCGTCGTATTATCGGCATCCACTCCCGCAGAAAGCTCAAGAACTCTTACGAGTATGAGTGCTCTTTCGCCCTGGTTGAGAACGCCGGCCAGAAGAACGAGCGTGAGGTTCCCATGATGACTGCCGACAACGAGTGGCTGCCCCGTACCGAGCTGCTGGCTTCTCACCAGAAGCTGGTCGCCGAGGTCGACATGAAGGAGGCTCTCGCCTCCGGCCAGTTCCGACCTCTGGTCCGTAAGGAGATTGAGGCTCACTGCGAGAACTTCGGTCTTGACGCCGAGCTGGTTTCTCACTCTCGTATGAAGGGTCTGTCCGGTGGTCAGCGTGTCAAGGTCGTCCTGGCTGCTTGCTCTTGGCAGCGACCTCACCTGATCGTCCTCGACGAGCCCACCAACTACCTTGACCGTGACTCTCTTGGTGCTCTGTCCAAGGCCATCAAGAAGTTCGAGGGTGGTGTCATCATCATCACTCACAACTCTGAGTTCACCCAGGATCTGACTGAGGAAGTCTGGGCCGTCATGGACGGAAAGATGACACCTTCCGGTCACAACTGGGTCCAGGGTCAGGGCTCTGGCCCCAGGCTGGACAAGAAGGATGACGACGAGGAGGACAAGTTCGACGCTATGGGCAACAAGATTGTGTCGACCAAGAAGAAGGCCAAGCTGACTTCCAGGTTAGTTCCACCCAGTGTCCCCATCTATCGTCTGAATCATAAGCTAACCAAGTTCACAGCGAGGCACGAAAGAAGAAGAAGGAGCGTATGGCACGACGCAAGAGGGGTGAGGAGGTCTTCTCTGACGAGGATGACATCTAAACGCCTCGTGCACAGCAGTTGATTTCACTTGAAAGAAAAAAGTTCCGGGAATGAGGGGCTTCGGCGTTCATTTGGGTCTGACTTAGAGCATTGTCTATTCTACGAATTATGTGGCCCAGAGGTTCAACACGCAAGCAGCTTTTCTAATCCGTCATAGAGATAGACACGAGATCTACAATGTCTCCTGCTCAGGGAATGGAGGCCCTCGAGGAGGAGGCTCAGGTCCACGTGGTTTGTTGAGGATTCTGGCTGGAAGAGAAAGTCCCCGCGTGCGCAGTAGAACCAGATACCAGTAGATGAAATAGAAGGGCAATAGACGAGAGACGAGATAGTTCTTGAATCATCACATTCAAAAATCCTTGCCCAATACGCATGTGCGTCAATGATCAACAGACGTGGATGAGAAGGGTCGACATTTAGAGTGGTCCGAAGTCGGACTTCCTCTCACATCGCTGTGAAACTAGCCATAAAGGACCCAAGAGGGCGGGCTAGTATAATGTGATTTCCCACGACTCATTCGATGCAAGGAGTAGCGCAGAACATCCAGCTATAAGCAGAGGAAACATACTCTAGCATTGTAGTACCGGTAGAGGTTGTACCGGAAGTAGTGACGCGGAGGCCGCTCAAGATGTGGTCGACGGCTCCCCAAGGTCGGTCACAACCTGGCCAGCGCGCAGGCAAGGTGCACACCGAAGACATCTATCTCCCTGAGGAGGAGACGGCCCCACTGCATGGAGCGTTTCCCCAGGCCTAATTATGCCCCGAGGCCAAACGGGAGATCGACCGGCCCGCAGGTGAATGGGCGGAACGTGATGTGGTGTGGTCGATGTTGCGGTCGACACTGTCGACGCACGCACCCGGGTGTCGGATGACGTCAAGTCGGTCGAGTACGTCATGTTGAAGCGGCTTCAGTTCTCGCGCTTACATCCATTCGCCTCCTTTTGTTGACAGATTTATCCAGAAGTCACCTATCTGTGTTATCATCACCACTTATAGTAAATCGCAGGATTGAAGTCTCAAATCCAACCAAATTCCTAGCAGCGTCTTAAAAGCACACAGCATTATCAACATGTCTGGCACCGAGAATCAACAGCCCAGCCTCGTAGGAGGACATGCTGAGTACGTCAAGGGCGCCGCGGAGGTAAATCTTCTCTCGCCTCAGTGTTCTTCTGCCTCTCAAGGAATCTGCCAAATGCCAGATTTCCTTCGTAGTACCATCACGTTGCCCTCATTCATATAACCCAGCGCCCCGTCTGTTCCCCAAAGCACCAGTTCACAGATCCTCCTCGCTGACATCCGATCAACCCCCACAGGCCGCCATCGGCAACGTCACAGGCTCCCAGGCGTGGAAGGCATCGGGGGAGCAGGCCAAGGCGCACGGCGTGTCGGACATGAAGGCCGCGAGCGAGGGCCGGGACGCTAGCAGCCAGGGGTACGGCAAGGCCGAGGAGCTGGCTGGCAAGGCGGTGGGCTGTGAGGGCATGGTGAAGGAGGGGGATGCCAGTGCGAAGAAGGATTAACTAGTTTGTTTTCTCACATGGAACAACGGGAATCAATCCTTCAAACCCTTCACGTGCTTGAGATGTGGCTTTGGGCTCAAAGTTTAACACCGCTTGATGAATACCTGAGGCCACACGACTGCCTTCGATGATACGTTCATTCCAAGGTTCTCGAACCGCGGTGTTCCCGTTGGTTCCATCCACATCGCATGTCTTTCATTTTCAAGCACACCACAACGTAGGGCACATATCTAGGAACATGCCGTTTTGATGTACCTGCGGAATTGTCGAATGGGTAAGAGATGGATGGTTCAAGTCAGGGCATGAACAAGCCCGTTGGTGAAATAAGAGATGACGTCCTGGTTATACTGAGGGGTTGACATCTTCAGCAACATTCTACCTACATAATCTGCACTTCCTTGAACAATGAGCCATCTTTCTCCTTGCATCCAGAGAAGACTTCCCCTTGCATTAGACCCGAAACATAGCATGGTCCAACAAGCTTGAAATAAGATCCGTCTTGACCCAAAATGAGCGGTACTCGGCATCCACGCAAGAGAGCAACGTAGTCATCCGTCCGAGCATTGCGAGGGCCAGTACCGATACGACCATGTCGTTTGCTAAAAAATAGCCGAATTTCCCTTGTCCGTGGTCTCGTCTGCGCGTGCAAGGAACTCCACCCAATGCCTGTGTCTCTTGTTCATATCCAGCCTATCTCGCTGCAGGTGCTCCCAGAAGTTGACTCCAAGGCTCTTGAACAAGTCCAAAAACGCCGTAAGACTCCCCAATTGATGATTGAAATGTTTTCTTAACTCTTCATAGAAACATGATATCAACCCGATCAATGCGCGCTCCTGTATCAATTTGATGTGATCTGTCGACCTCAAAGCATTCCCTGAAAACATCATTTTCATAAATTCCTCCCGTATACCTCGTACGATCTCTCTATCTATTAACGAGTCGTTTGCCTGGCCAAGAAAAGACGCATCCTCGAAGACCATGGCTTGGAAAAAAGCAGTGAAGCTTTGGCAGAGATAGTGTTGAGTCTCTGCCAATCAGACAGAAGTTGATGACCAATTCCTTCCACCCTTCATCTCTGATCTTTTCCAAATCCTGATGGGCCAGCAAAGTATCGGCAAGATATGCTTGTGTCTTCATGATGCAATCAAAGCCATTGTCCAAAAACGTGACAGTGGCGTGAGTCGGCTCAGCTGCGTTGAACCGCTCGAGACTAGCCCCAACTACGTATCGCATGTTGACACCTTCCATACTGCGCAAGTCGGGAACCCAAGAAAGCAGCCCGATGTCGTCGCCATGAGCTGGAGTCCACGCGCCGGCTGTAAGCAAAGACGAGTGGTCGCGGTCGGCCCGGATGCGCTTCATCGAGAAATCAACATAGACATCCCGCGTTGACAGTGCATAGTTGGGTTGTATGGCCTTTGCGAGGGTGTCGCACACACCTAAAAGTGCGTAGAGCTTGTCTTAGGATCTTGACATTGCAAGTGTCTCGTCGGCAGGACAACATTGCGGAAATGAGTAGCCTGCGCCCGCGAAACGAACAGATGTGCGATTTTGAACAGTGCATTGCGTAACTCAAGGGACTCCTCGTGCTGCCCTCCGGTCATATTCCAGGCGGCGCGGCTTCCGTAGATGGCGTCAAATTCTTCGAATTCCTCCCACGGTTTGGAATGTGCACCACAGTGCACCACCACTTGCTGAGCCAGGACAATTTCCTGGAAAACCCACATGCGGTTCCAATACGATCGACTCAGTAATTCTGTGACTGCTTTGATATCGGGGCGTATGTTGCTCACGACCATTGGCTTGTTATAACCGGCGCGAAGAGTATTGTCGATAAAGCCAAATGCCGCTCTGATGTCGGTGAAGCCGGGTAATCCTATCCACACGCGTACGGTTGAGGCGTTGGAGTAGATCTGACCCATGAGACCGACTTGTATGGCACGCTCTTCGATACTGGCCTGGTCGATGCAGATACTGTCTACCCAAAGATTCTGTGAAGTGGAAGATTTCTGGGACGACAATACGCTTCGCATCTCCTTGAGAGCGCAAAGGAGATTTTCCATCACAGGTGTCCTCATACCATTGACAAAAATGTAGTGATGCCCCGTGGAATACTCCCAACGATACGACAGAGCGTCATATTCTGGACTGTCATCCAAGGAGAGGAAACATATTAACCCTGATTAGATCTGAATCATGGCACTCTTCAGACGGACAGAGTTCAATGAGGCGGATCTGACCAGCTTGAAGCGGTGAAGTCTGGTAGATGGTCTTTCCGAGTTCAGTCGCATTTGACGGGTGTGAGAATGAGTGTACTGGTGAAGCCGGAGGACGCGAAACGATGGCGTGTCTCGCGATGGTGCGTCGTACGTTGTCATTCAGCGATCGTCTCTCCGCAGAGCTAGCCAACCCTGAGGATCTTGGCCTGCTATTATGAGAGTTGGGAAAGGCAGCCGCTCTTGAGAAATATGTAAACTCAAAGTCCACGTCTTCGCCAACAGAAACCACAGAGGAGTGTATCTCACAAGTCCATCCAACAAAAATGGAGCGGGTTGTGACGCCGTGAGACGGATGTAGATGTCTGGGGCACTGATCTACAGGATGCCGATAGTTGACACAACGACAAAACGCATACAGCTGAATGACTTGATAACACATTGTAACTGTCAGCTTGGAAAGTGTGGCAAGGGTCTGATTTTCAAACGCTTTAATATGCCATTGTTCTCGCAATGTACACATGAATAGGGATTCCAGGTTCTGGGCGACTTGTGTGTGTGTTGACGTAATGTCTCGATTGGTTACATGAAGAGGCCTCTCACAGTAGGCCCGATTCGACAGCGATGCGTGCTCCACGTCAGCTGTCCGTTTTGTCACACAGCATGGAGGCAATCATGGTCTGCCAGTCGCCATGCGAAGAATTCGTGCTGATCTTGAGACGCCGAATCAGAACCTTGAGGGGCGAGAATAGTTGAGCAACATACCTACGTCTTGCCACGGGGTTCAAAAGAACTCAGGCTGCTGGTAGAGCACAATATTGGCTTTTACGCAGGACTACATGGATATAGCACGTTTCACTCACTTATGTTCTTAATATTGTCAGCTCCGGAGCAATTGCGGTTCCAAAAGCGTGGTTTTTCTTTTAATTTCATCGAGTTCAGCCGCCTCAGAGCAGGAAATCTGTGAATAATCTCTGTTAGTAGGTCGTACAAAACAGTAGTATATATGGTCCGCGCCAGTGGCCTCTGGTCTATGTTGCGTCGCAACAGGAATCAGAAGTCAAGAGCTGAAGGATCAACACGAAATATGTTGTAGTGTAGGTCTAAAAACAGCGGGAAAATAGATACATGAGAAAGGAGTTTGTCTATGCATATCTTGAGCGTCCTTATGTCCCGACTTGCAACACATGAAAACCGCCCGGCACCTTGGCAGGTGCGCCAGGACCACTGTACCCGGTGCCAAACAGAATGTATGGCCCGTCAACAGCAACACCGCCATGAAAGTTGGTCGTCAAGTCGAAATCAGTTATAACAGTTCCGTCAGCTTTGTCGAGAACCACTAGCCCCCCTTGAGACGCGTCGTAGCTCGTAGTCCCATTCGGGTCTTCCCCAGTCCTAGCCACAAGCACGAGGTCTCCCACGACCGTAGGGGGGCCCATAGACACACCATTCATCGAAACCGGGGTCTCCCAGAGAATCTTTCCGTCTGAGAGAGATAGTGCGCCATACGCGCTCCTGTTGATCGTCTGGTTTGAGGGCTGGAGCTGCCACGTCTTGTAGTCTGAGTTGGTAGCAGTGAAATAGGCTCGGGAATCGTCAACGGAAATACCCCAGCTCAATCCACCGTTGACGCCCACGGGGCTAGTTGCTGTTTCCCACAGGACGTGTCCATCATCGGCCGATATCGAATACAGCTCGCCAGTCTTCCTCCCCACGAATAGCTTGCCCGCGTGATCACCGGCGGGCACGAACACTGGTGCCATTCCAAAGTCGGCGTTGGGACCAGGAACCGGGGCACAGAGTCGTATTCTGCGGTAGGACGCCCGGAAAGCCACATGCTGCCGTGAAGACATCTACCCCAGGCTGCTGCTGTACCCAGTTCACTTTCCCGGTGTCGATGTCGATGGCAAGCACAGAGTCTTGCCAGACGTCTGATGGAAGGCAGGTATCATTTCTCAAGGTGTATGGAACTATCGGAGGGGCGACTTCCCGCTGACACTGACGGTGACGTTGGAAGCCGAATAGGAGTTGCCAGTTCCCACAAACACTTGACGATTACCCGCGTCGATGGCTGGCTGACTGCCCCAAATCGCAGCACCTGCCCAGCCTTCTTGTTGGCGGGCGTCGGTAATTGTGGCTACCCTCCACGCGACGCTGAAGTCTCCCGTTGCAGAGTCGAAGGTCAGGGCAACCATATTTCCCACGAAGGAGCAGCACTGATACCCGGGGCGCCGGGTCACGCTTGTCTCGACGCTGGCAGTCCCAACGAAGAGTTTCCCATCAAAGAACGTCGGAGACATGGTGATGACTGCCACTGGGGTGGCGTCGATCTGAACGACGCCGAGGGTGGTCCCGTTGCGCTTGTCCACGGCCACGATCAAGGCATGCGTCAAAGTGCCAAAGTATAGGGTGTTCCCGTCGATTTGCGGACTTGTTCGCGACACCGGCCGGGTAGTCTCAGCCTGGAACTCTGATACTGGGGCAAAGCCTTCGACGATTGACGTCACGTTGATTTTCCATACGGTCTCACATGTGTGGAAGTTCAGCGCGACGAACGACCCTTCCCAAGTGGGGAAGTACGCGATGTCCTCGAGGATCACTGGAGTGGCACTGACCCCGATGGGAAAGCTCAAGTTGCAGTGATCGGCGGCGGAAAGAATGTTGCTGGACGAAATGTTGTTGTTTTGTGCGGCCCATCTGTTGTTGTTGCTGTTCCCGCCCCAGCCGGACCATTGCGTCGAGGTGTCATGTGTTGCCTCATAATGCCGGCTCGAGAAGGGGCTGGCTTGCACCACAAACGGCACGCTCAGCAGGGTTGAAAGCACTGAGAACAGCATGTCGTTTTACAGGGAATGAAGTGTGCGATGATTGCGGTCCGACGGACGGATATGGACCGATATATTAGTACATGTAATTGAGCAACGGACCCCTTTATCACATTGATCCTCCACCTCGTTGTACACGGAAGGAACGAGCTGAGCATCCTGTAATAAGACATCCCGTGCTGAGGGTAAAATTGATCCGCCACTGCCGCCCCCCGGGAAGATTATGAAAGGACGTGCTGCCCACCATACCAGCGAGTTCCAGAAGCCTGGGCTGGTTGCACGGCTATGGGGGGACAGGGCTGAGTGCTAAAAGTGTGCAAGCATTGAATCAAGCTTCTGTTGCACAGTTGAGCTGTCTGTCTCAAACGAAACTATTCCCCCCCCCCTGTCAATCGAGTCATTCGCTCTCCCCCCGCACACAAAAAAACACCCTCTTCGCGCGTGCGTCAACGCAGCGTATTCGCGTCTTTTTAGCCCTCATTTTCGCCCTTATTTTCGCCCTCCGCAAGCATTTCCACTATGCGCGCAAGCTACTTAAAAATTTATTGCATGCCTTATAAGAGCTAAATATTTATTCCCTTCCTTAAGTAAAGTTTTTAGTATTTAAATTAATTAATATAAAAAAAATTAAATAACTTAAATTATTTAATTTACCTTTTTTATTTATTTATTTTTATAAAATTAAAATACTTTTTAAAGAAACTTAATTATAATAAAAAATAAAATTTTATATTTATAATCACTTTATATATATATAAAGTAATACCCTTTTATGCCCTTTTAATTATAGCAATAATATATATAATTATAAGAAAGGTAAGAAATGCAAGGTATGCACCATGGTTTATATGCAAAGAGGGTGCGAAAACACTATGCAGGCGCGCTTAATTGGAGGAGATTATGACATTTTTAGAGTATGCAGAAGATTTGAATACTGTGATGGGCTTGGGCTATTGCCCAAGCCTTATATAGTGTGGCTAGATAATCCAAGGGAGCTTGGATTATTACGTACCTTTTGGCGCAAATGGTTGCTGCTTTGCAGCTTATAGGAGAAGGCGCTAGCCAGCTTGCAGCCCCTCTGGGGCCAGCCTATAACAAATAATCCAAGCTCTAGGGTCGAGAGTTCAAGTCATGGTCTCACCCAACCATGAAGAAGATCTTTGGCTTGAAAAGGCGATGTCGCGGGTGAGCCTTGGGGGTAATTGTACCACTATATTAAGCCGGAGGAGGGGGCTATGTGATGGGCTTGGGCAAGCCCATTGCCCAAGCCTTATATAGTGTGGCTAGATAATCCAAGGGAGCTTGGATTATTACGTACCTTTTGGCGCAAATGGTTGCTGCTTTGCAGCTTATAGGAGCAGGCGCTAGCCAGCTTGCAGCCCCTCTGGGGCCAGCCTATAACAAATACGCTGCGTTAACGCGCGCGTGAAGAGGGCTTTTTTATATGCCGGGGGGGGGGGGGGGAGCGAATGACTTAATTAACAGGGGGGGATAGTTTCGTTCCTACCAGGGGGGAGGGGGGTTTCTAACTAGGTTATGCAATGCACTTATGTTTTAACATTTAATTAAAATTTTATAATTTTAGTAAAATGCTAATAAAAGGTTATTAAAATATTATTAAAAGTAAATTATATTAAAGCTTTAAATTATATTAATAATAACTTTATATTAATATTAATTTTATATTAATTAAGATTATTATAATTTTATATTAAAAACTTTAATTTAAACTTTATTAACTTTAAACTTATTTTTATTTTTAAATATTTTTATAATTTTATAAGTATTTTTATAATAAATAATTAAGTTAATAAAGAATAAATAAATAATTAAGTTAAAAATAAGGAAAAAAAAAGATATTTTTTTAATAAAGCTATTAAATGCTAACATTATATTATAATATATTAAGAGCAACCTTATATTAAAAACAATTATATATTAATAATAAGCAAATAATGCAAGAAATACATAAAAACATACTGTTAAAATATTGTTTGCATGTTACTATTATGTTGCTTTCCTTTCGACTTGCTTGCAGCACCTAAACAAGAACCCCCCCTCCCCCTGGTAGGTTTGAGACAGACAGAGGCTCCACAGCCCACGTGGCGAGCTATTTATAGACGGCGCCTCCATGACAGGAAGGTGGCTCAGACAGGATGTGTCAGTTGTTGGGGGCTATCATGGTAAGATATCCCACACCAGAAAGCTGTACGCGTGTATAATGGCCGTGTGTGCCCTCAATTCAGATAACAGCGCCTCCTGACCCCTTCTCTGCGCGTGCAATGATCACAAGTGAGGGTGTTCGGACGGATTTGGCCGATGGTCAGTCAGCAAGGTGGCTTGAGCACGGGTTAGAGAGGCTTGCAAAGGATTTCCTACTATTGGCTTTGATTAGATCTGTAGACACTCGGAGCTTATCTGGCATGTGATAAGCATTTTTCGAAATTCTACATGGGCCAAAAAGTCTCTCCTAGTACCGCAGCAGTTTATCTACATAGGTACGATCGCATCTCAGCGCAACCTCCATCTCGCCGTGCGCGACACTCAACAAGATCATGACTCCTATTAAACTAGGGCGGCCAGCATCTAAGTCGAGTCATTCAACAGTCACACGAAACCAGCAAATAGACAAAGACGTCCGTTTTAGAGCTAAGAATGGTGCGCGTCAAGGAAATGAACCGGCCGCCGAAGTTAACATCGAACTCACGGAATCGCCTTGGCCAGTCATAATCACCCAAATCTGGGAGGTGTGCACCTGGAGAGAAGAGTATCGAAGTGTAGAGACATCATCACACCCAGAATCGAGGAAGAGCCAGCTGGTAATGGTGCATCGGCTAAATCAACCAGATTGGAAAGAGTGTGTTGTATATTGCGGTTGTTCTAGTCGTATGGAAACGCGAAGTACCGAGAAAGAAACGCAACAAGGGCAGCCTATCTGATACTAATCCCAGATGGACAAAGTGAGAGTTGTAGTTGTGCACTGCAGGAAGGCAGAACTGCAAAGTTGGCCGCGGGTTCTCAACGCCAACAGCCACCTGGTGAGACAATCCGTAGACATGGATACTACCTCTCCAACGCTTCGAAGAGTTCCGAAGAAACCATTCTGCGCACTGAGAACTATAGCAACCATCCTGACCCTTTCTGCCCACATGCAATCTACACAACTTCAAGATCAGCCCTGGGCTTAGCCTTGACATATAACGGCCTCTTCTGCCGGATAATCCGGATGTATTCAGCTCGGTGACCCTTGTCCCAGTGGACGGATTGCGGTGCAAGTTCGAAATCGAAATGCCAGAACAGGGCCGCGAAGGCCATGCGCACCTCGTGGTAGACGAATCTTGGTCACCATGCAGTCAGCTTCCAGATGTTCGCGATGAATGGCGTGAGAAAAAGGAGGCAAAGATTGAGGGGGGATGGGGTTCTCAAAACATACCGCTTTCCGATGCAGTCCAAGCTGCCCTTGGCAAAAGGTCTGAATGCAGCTCTCTTGTCATTTGCGTATCTAGCGTCACGCTCAGGCAGCCAGCGCTCAGGCACGAAGGACCCTGGGTCTGAGAAGTTGTATTCCCAATTTCCGGCAGTGTAGTGTGGTACACCACAAGTAGTCTGCAGAAAAGAAGTCAGAAAGGATAGTGAGCTCTCGGGAATGGCAGACTTACGCCTCCCGGTAACCAGTAACCATCTATCGAAGCCCCGCCAGGTGGCACGATACGTGGGATGGTCGTGGCGAACGGCGTATCTGTCCGCAGACTCTCTTGGATAATGGCATCCATGTAGACCATTTGGTCTGTGTTGGCCGCCGTGATGTCGGCTGCGCTCTTGATGATACCAGAATATCTGATCTCATGCATCACCCTCTCGTAGACACGGGGAACGCTCATAATGTTCCACATCATGGCCGTCATCAGGATGGGCGTCGCCTCGCTACCAGACAAGACAAGGATGGACGCCACATCAAGAGCCTGGACACGGGTGATGGGGTGTTCTTTATCTTTCATGCCGTTGTAGATGGTACTCATGATGTCTCCCCGGTCTCCACCCGCCTCATCGACCGTGTCGAGCCACCGTGCAGCCGTCGAGTCAGACATGACCCGCAAGCTGTTCCACCAGTCCATCCACGGGAGGCGCAAGGCCAAGTTGTAGAAGCCCCTGGTGGCCGGGAACCGCAGGAGGACCTGCATCACGGAGAGAAACGGGGCGCCCACCTCGGCGGCGTGAAGGTACGGGTGGTTGCGCTCGTTCTCGAGGCACGAGAAGTCCTCGCCGAAGCTCAGGACGCCCATCACGTCGAAGGTGAACCACGTGAACATGCGCTCGATGTTGAACTCCTTGCCCTTCTGGTCTTCGATCTTGTTGCGCAGCTTGTCCAACCACACGTTCACGATGTCCTCATGGTGCATGAACGCCTTGTTGGTGAAAGCCGGGAGCAGCAGCCGCCTGATGGCATGGTGATCCTGCTTGTTCTGCGAGATGAAACTCTTGCCTTCGACCTGCAGCTGCGAGACACTGAAGAAGTTGAGGTCGCGCATGAACTGCTGCGAGCTTCCGCCGATGGTATCCCAGGCTGTTCCCGTGGCATTGGAGACCTCGTCTGGGCCTACGCGTACAATGATGCCATACTTGTCGTGTAGGCCGACGAGGTCTTTGTAGTGGCAGCCTCGGATATGCTGCCTCCAGAGACGGGGAAGCCAGGAGATGGCATATAGTTTGGGCCCAGGGATCTTAGCCAGAGGATGGAGGTACAGGTTGTAGTAGATGTGGTAGAGGCGATAGCAAAGAAACTGTTGGATGAAAGATGATCAGAGCTTGGCTTTACCAATGCCTGGGGATGATACCACTTACAAGAACTCCCAATCCAACGTATATAGAAGTCTGCATGGCGATGACAGCAATGGATGTTGGTCCTCTGGTACCAGGAGCTGAATTTCACAAGCAGCTACAATTGACGATGAATGGTTGATTTCTATGGTGTTGGTGTGTTTATAAAAAGAAGAAAAATTTCTATAAGGCACTCTCAACTTTCCCCAGAAGGTCGGCGAACTCGCTTGACCGATTTCTGTGTGCTCGAGCTAAGAATATGGTAACATGTAACGACACGACATCTCCGGATCTTTGGCCCGTCACCTATACCAGGCAACAGGGCGTCCCTGTAGATAGCTACTTTCCCCCCTCCGTTGCGAGCCAATGAATATTCCGAGAGGGAGGTAGTATATTGCGACAGAATCCTGCAGCATTTGTTACACCGATTACTCAAACAGTCTATAATCTTGCTGTCGGCCGATCTACGAGTCACCAGACAAGCTTTGGAATCAACCTATACACCCCCTTCCCATCTCAACCAACTGGACTTTGGCGGAGTTCATGCATCCTGCTGGCTGCTTACATCCTTACCCCCTGAATTGACCTCTCACCGAGTCTGTATTTCATACCATCATCTTATCTTCCTGATTCGACGAGCGCATCTCAATAGTCCATGCGTTGTGGCGTCCGGGTGCCTCCTTCGTTACTCAGCCTGGCCTATCAAGACACTGTATGATATACCCTCAGCCTACCCTCCCTCCTTCGTGTAATCCTGAAGAATTGAATTCTAGATGGTGTATAAGACATGTGGTGAGCTTATTCACCCGGATGTTTGTCAGACTTGCTATTGGGCGAAGATAAGACAACAATGGTTACGCGAACCAAGAGTTGACGGAGATTGATCCGGTGGGCTTGTCTTTCTTTTGGCGAAGCTTAGTTGACATGAAGCTTTCTTCAAAGGTTTACCACGTATTATTGTCTTTACAAGGGTATGGCATAGGCCTTTACTCAACCTCAATATTGTGATATGACATTCTATCGATTTGCACTTTGCTGCTCGACACTGATACAGTGGCCGTTGAAGTAATCAGTGGTTTGTACATCTGGAATCGTGGTACTGTATTCTTCCGTCTTACTGAGTGACAGGCACGACGATCTCTTGCCTCACTAGGGGGAGCAATATGTGGTGACATGTCATACGCATCTTCAAACAGGTTCTAGCCCCCTGCCACGTCCCCCCCACCCTCCCTGCGGCCACAGTTTCTGTACAACATGTACGAACATGTCAGCACCGTCTTGCCGTGGAAGTAAAAGGATAAACTCCAGAACGAAAAGTCGATTATCTGGGGTAATTGAGAGCTTCCAGTGAGGATGGAAGACTGGCTCATGGGCAGTTAGATTCACGGAAGGACAACCTATCATAGTTAGCTCGAGGCTGACGGACATAAATATTTTACGATAACAAACAACCAGGCGCCCGAAGCAATCGAGAGTGCCCGATTCTACGATCGCCACTCCCCTGCTGTGGTGGATTTCTCATATTGTTACCCAACAGACTGCCCATCGCCGTGTGTACTGGTCTCTTCATCTTTATCTTGCAGGCCATGAACCTTGAAGACATCGCCATAGCAATCATTGGCTTCCAGTAGATCTCATAGCTTCCCATCTCCAAATTTCGTCTCTTTTTTTGCTTGTTTGAAATGAGCAAAGGATCACACAACATGCTTTCAGAGAATGAGCTCTACCCTTACTCAGTTCCTGTTGACCGGGAGAAGGTGGTGGCATCTGGTGCCCTGACATCTCTGCCTGTCAGGATACACCGATATGACCACCTCTCGGACGCAGGGGCGCTGTGCTTGACCAATGACTGGCGTGTCACCATGAAAGATGGACAAGACAGAAAGTCCAATGGCTCGCCATGTGTTGTAGGAAACTGGGGAAGTTTCATCTGGCCTGAGAGGTACGATCAGATAGAAGTGGAAAAGGCACAGCTTCCATCCTGAGCCTGTCATGGAGGAATATCAAGAAGCACGAGTGGCTAACCATGGAGTTTATAGTCGACCAGAAAGACTTGGGCTTCTCTGCTACCTGCTAGACGCAGGCTGTTTTCACGATGGTATGTCAACACTTCTACCTCATGAGTTGACAGCTGCTGACCGATATGCATAGATGCTTGTGAGGAGATGTCCATCGCTGCAGCTCACGAAGAACACTTGGACATGGAGGCAGCTATGGACATTGATGATCACCGCGCGCTGGACAGCGACTCACGGTCCTTGAAGACGAAACATCTTGTCTCAACCGCTGTTCTTGAATGCATGAAGGTAGACAGAGAAGGCGCCATGAATATGCTGGAGGCGTACCGAAAGAAATGGCTCCAGATCATGGAGACATACAATACCGAGGAGATCAACAATGTCGAAGACTACTTCTTCGCACGGGCGAACAACGGGGGCATGGGGTGAGTAAAGCTTCCACCACGCCACGTGGACATGGACTGACGATGACCTCAGAGCGTATTACGCGATGCTTGAGTTCTCCTTGGGCATTTCAATCTCCGATGAGGAATATGAGACGATGGCTGAGCCCATCACACGTGTGGAAAGGTGCATGCTTCTCACCAACGATTACTGGAGCTGGCCACGTGAGCGCAAGCAAGCCGAGATCCAGGAGGCCGGCAAGGTCTTCAACATCGTGTGGTTTCTTATGAAGACCGAGTCCTGCACCGAGGAGGAAGCAGTCGCCAAAGTCCGCGAAATGGTCTATGCAGAAGAACAGAAGTGGACTGCTGCCAAAGACCGCCTGTACAGTCGGTTTCCCAGCCTGCGGCCGGACTTGGTCAAGTTCTTGGAAAACCTGCACACGGCTTTGGCGGGTAATGACTACTGGAGCTCGCAGTGTTACCGCCACAATGACTGGACGCACATCCCAGAACTTCCTGGCGATGATGCACCAAAGCTCAACGAGCTAGCTGGCCTGGGTCAGTCGTTGGCGAAAGAAGATCCACTGCCCAGCACTTCGGCCCCTGTGCAGAGGAAGATTGATGTGGACAGCGCGCGGATCACTCCACGCAAGCGATCCGCTGACACGATCTCTAGCGATGACACTGTGTCAAAGCCGAAAGGGAGCACGTCCAGCGAAGACTCGGCCAGTAAAGACTCGATCTCCTCGGCCAGCACTCCACCAAGCGTGTCCAAGAGACAGGCATTACATCCAACCACTCCATATCAGTTGTCTGCGCACGAGACACGTGATTTCGACTCTCCAGCCTTGACAGACCCGGTCAAGTACATCAGGAGCATGCCGTCCAAGAACCTCCGGACACAGCTCATCGACTGCTTCAACACCTGGCTGAATGTCTCTGCGTCTGCGATCCCGGTCATCAAAGAAGTCATCGATTGCCTGCACCATTCTTCACTGATACTGGATGACATCGAGGATGGTTCGCATCTGAGACGCGGGTTCCCAGCTACTCATGTCGTCTACGGAGAGTGTCAGGCCATCAACAGCGCCACGTTCCTCTACGTCCAGGCAGTGGAGAGCGTTCACGCCGCGGCCCGGAACAACCCAGAAATGATGGACGTCTTCCTGAAACACCTGCGGCAGCTCTTCCATGGCCAAAGCTGGGACCTCTACTGGACGTACCACCGGCAATGCCCCACCGAGGAGCAGTACCTGGAGATGGTGGACCAGAAGACGGGCGCCATGCTGCAGCTGCTGGTGGGCCTGATGCAGGCATCGCAGAGGCAGCAGCCAGGGAAGGGCGGCCTTCTCCCCGGCGAGGCCCTGTTCAAGTTCACGCAGCTGTTCGGCCGGTTCTTCCAGGTCCGCGACGACTACATGAACCTTGCGTCGGTCGACTACGCGCGGCAGAAGGGGTTTGCCGAGGACCTTGACGAGCGCAAGTTCTCGTACATGATCGTGCACATGTACCAGAGATACCCCGAGGCCCGGGACAAGGTCGAGGGCGTCTTCAAGGCCATGAAGCAGGGTGGTCTCCCGCAGGTTGCAGCGGATACGAGCAAGAAGTATATCTTGTCTGTCCTTGAGGAGTCGGGATCAATCGCAGCTACCAAGGCGCTGTTGACGAGGTGGCACGACGAGATCATGGAGGAGATTGGGGCCCTGGAGACGCACTTTGGGGCTGACAACGGCGTGCTTCGTTTGCTGGTGGAAACCTTACGAGTCTGATGATGGTGCTGTGTTTGTATTGGCGTTTCGGTGGAGTGCCTTGGCAAGAAGCTTGATTGCACCCGCCTTGGCAGAAGCTTGATTTGACGCAACTGAGACATATGGCCTTATGATAGTTAAGGGGAAATTCTTAAAAAAGGTTTTGGTAGCCGCGGCAGGGTTTAAACCTATGCCCTTCGTGGAGAAAAGCCAAACGTATAATAAATGCGCCACGCGGCCTTTATCTTTTAATAAGTACTTTCTTTCTTCTTAATTAATAAGAAAATAAAGGTTTTTTTTAAGCTATAATATAAGCATATAGCTTTAGCTATCTTTGCATTTTAATTAACATATAGCGGAAATAACTAAGGAATTATATAAATGCTTATTTCTTTACTTTTATTAATTTATAATTGCATTAAGCAATTATTAATTAATATTAAATAACCTTTATTATATAGCTAATATATATATATATATATATATAATTATATAATTATATTTATATTTATTTTTTTCTTTTTAATTAACTATTAAAATAACGGCTTTTATATAATAATTAAAAAAGGTTATTATATTAATTAAATAGGATAATTAAGCCCGTCTTATTAAGGGGATAATATATAATTTAATGGAGTGTTATTTTAACATTATAATTATATTAAGGGGTTAAATTAACTAGCGCTTATAATATTAAAAGTTATAATAAAAAAAAAGGAAGTCCTTAATAAATCCATCCTTATTATCCTTATTATTTTATTTAAAAATATTATAATTATAATAATAACTTAAGGTAATAAAGTATTATTTTACTTTAAAAACTTAATTAATAAAGATAATTAAAGCATTTATTATTATATTAAAGTATTTTTAAATATAAATTAATATTATTATAAGATAAAGATAAAAAAAACTTATATTAAGGGTATATATATTAATAATGCAGCGTTTAACTTTAATTTATTAATTAATATTAAGGGTTGTAAAAGCATTAATTATACCTTAAATAAAGTAAATTAACTATTAATTTATAATGATAACTTTATTAATATAATATATAATTATATTATTATTAATAAAAAACATAAATATATTAATAAGTTATATTAAGATTAAAGGTATATTTAAAAGAATATTAATAAAAATATAAAGTAATTATAAATTATAAATATAAGCATAATTACTTAAGTAATATAATTATAAGCAAGGCGTAATAAGTTGTAAAGAAAAAAGGTTTAAAGTTAAATAGCAAGGGAATTAAAAAGCTATAAAAATATTAATTAAATTAAGGTAATGCTTTATAATTAAAAGCAAGGCAGCAATATTATAATATAAATAAAAAGGGGATATAATATAAAGGTAGGTATAAAATAAAATTAAGGGTAATTAATATTAATAAAAAAAATAATTATAAAGTTAATAAAAACGTTATTAAAATATGTAAAAAAATGCTATAATATTATTATTATATTAATAAAAAGCAATTAAAAATAAAGGTTATAATTATAAAAAGTTATTTTAAGTAATAATAATAAGTATAATGTTGGCAGGGGCAGGGAAATACGTAAGAAATAGTACTGCATTAAATTCTAGCTAGCTATAAAAAGCTAGCTTTTATACTTATTTTAAACATTCTTAAAGAAATTAACTCTTTTCTTTTTTTATATATTTAGTATTTTAATTAAGCTTTTTTTATTTTTAAAATTTTTTAAAATACTTACTTTTTTCCCTTTTTTAACTTCCTTTTATTTCTATTTTTTTTTATTATATTAAAGCTCCTTCTTAAGTTATTTTTAAAAAGGTTTAGCAAAACCTATTTTCTATTTATTTAAGTAGCTTATTTTTATTAATAATTTAACTTAAGCTTAATTTTAATCTTATATATTTTTAATTAATAATAAGAGAAATAAAAAGTTAGCTATAAATTAATTATTTATTAATTTTATTTCTTTTTTTATTTTTATATTAAATATTATTAAATTATTTTATATTTTAGCTTAAAGCTTTAATTAAAGTTTATATTTATTTTTAATTTATTATAAAAAAGAATTAAATATAATTAAACTTATAATAATATTATAAATATCTTAAGATTATTTTTTAATCTTAAAATATTTCTTATATTTTTAATATTTAAGTAAAATATTACTTTAATCTTATATTTATATATTATTAAGCTTTAAATTTATTTTAAATTTTTTATTAAAAATTATACTTAAATATAATAATAATATAAACTTAAAATTAAAATAATAAATTTAAACTTTATAAATATTACTTAATATTAATTAAAAATATTTTAAACTTTTAATTAATATTTATTATTATTATTATAATCTTAAATTTAAAATAAAAAGAGTTATAATATAAAATTAAGGTATTTACTTTATTTACTTATAAATTTAATAAGTAATATTATATTATATATTTTAAGTTAATTAAATTATATAAAAAGCTTAAACTTAAAATATAACTTTACTTAAGTTTTAATTAAACTTAAATTTAAATTATTAAGAATTTAATATAATATTAATAAATAAAATATTAAATATAAATTTAAAAGGTTTTCTTTATTATAATTTTATAATACTTATTTTTTAATAAAATATTCTTTTATTAAGTTTATTTTATTTATTATATTTATTAATACCTTTATTTTTTAAGCTTTAATTTAAGTATTTTATAATAATATTAAAAATAAATTCTTTAAAAATAATTATTTTAATTAAAAATATTATTACTTTTAAGTTTTATTATTTTATTATTATTTTAATAAAAGTTATTATATATATATATATTATATTTTTAAGCTTAAAGCCCTTTTAAACTTATTTTTATTTTAAAAATACCTTTAAATCTTAAAAATTATTTATTCTTTTTTACTTAAAGCTAAAAAAGAAATCTTAAGAAATTTATTAAAAGAAAAAAAAAATTTAATTTTATTTATTATTAATTAAAATATTAACCTTACTTTAATTAAACTTTATAATTTATTATTAATAATAAATTAAAAACTTAAATAAATATTTTAAAAATTTTACTTTTTATTAATATAATAATTTTATTATAAATAGCTTTATTTATAATTTATAATTTAAATACTTTAAAATTTAATAAAATTAATATTATTAAGGTTTTAAATAATCTTAAAATTATTACTTATTAATTTTCTTACTTAAATAATTAAATCTTAAAATTACTTAAATAATATTATATTACTTTAAACTTAATTAAAATAATTAAAAATATTATTATTAAATAATATATTTAAAAAAACTAAAAGGAAAAGCTTTTTATTTTTTATAAGTTAAATAATTAAACTTATTATATAAACTTAATAATAATTATTAAAGATATTATTTATAATAACCTTTATAATAATTTAAAAATATAAAAAAGAAAAATTATAAAATATAATTAAGAACTTAATAATATAAATAATATTTTTTTTTTTTATAACTTAACTTTTTTATAAGATATTTTTATTATATTTAAAAAAATAATTAATAAAAAAAGGAATTACTTATAAGTTAATAAAGAATATTTTTTAATTAAATTTTAAATATATTTTATTAAAAGTTATTAATTAAAAACTTAAATATTTTAAATAAAATAATTACTTATTTATATAAAATAATTTTAATTAAAATTTACTTAATATAAAAAGGTTAAATTTCCTTTAAGAAAGTTAAAATAATTTTAATTTTTTAAATTATCTTTAAAATAAAAACTTATAAGCTTAATAATTTTTATTTAAATTTAATTATATTAATATTATTAAAAAATATAATTAAAATTTATAAAATATAAATAAATTTATTAAAAAATTTATAAAGTTAAAGCTTAACTTAATTAAGTTTAAAAATAAATTTAAAATATTTTAATAAAATATTAAAGCTTTTTTTTATAATAAATAATAAAATAATTTTAAAATAATTAAATTAAAAGCTATAAATTTTATTTAATAACCTTTAATAAAACTTAATTAAAATAACTTTAATAATAATAAAGCATAAGCTATAATTTTAATATTTTTTTTTAAAAAAAATAAGTTACTTAAAGTTTATTATAATTATACTTCTTAAAATCATAATATATATTAATATAATAAGCTTAAATAGCTTTTTTTAAATAGCTTATTAATAGCTTTAAAGTTAAAAAAGTTATTAATATTTCTTAACTTATTTAAAAATGCTTAAATTAGCCTTTTAAAGTATTTAAATTTTATTTATATTTAATTATATTATAATTAAAATAATTATAATTTAAAAAAATATATTTATAGTTAATTAAAGTTTTTATTTAAAAAGAAAAGATTTAATTTACCTTATATAATTAAATATTATAAGCTTATTAAGATAAATCCTTTATTTAAAGGAAAAGCCTTATTAAAAGCTTTAAAAGTAATTTAAAAGCTTAATAATTAAAAAAAAATTAACTTAATCTTAATATTTATAAATATTATAAATTATATAATTTATATTAAGAAAAAGCTTATAATTATAAGCAATAATAAGCTTTTTTAAATAAATATTATTATAATTAAAAAAAAGTATATAATTAAAAATATTAAAAATTAAAATAAAGTTATAAAAATTATAAAAATTAATTAAATTTAATTTAAAAACTTTAAAAAGATAAAAAATAATTAATCTTAAATTATTAATAATAAATTATAATTAAGAAATAAAAAAAAAAAAAAAAAAAAGAAAAACTTATTTATTAATTAAAATTAAACTTAAAAGGAAAATATTAATTTTTTATATTAAAAGTAAGCTTAATAAATATAATAAACTTAAAATTAAAAAAAAATATACTTAATAACCCTTATTACTTAAAAAAAAAAGTAATTTAAGTAATTTTAATTATAATTATTAAAATAAATATTATAAATATCTTAATATTTAGCAATATTAATTTAATTTTAATTAAATACTTATTAATAATATAATTTAAAATATATATTTTATTAAAGATTTTTTTTAAGTTAATATATTTTAAAAAATATATTAAAAACTTAT